GATGATGTTTTCCATCCATTTCAGCCATGTGATAACAGAGATAAAACGCATCGTGAGGAGAAATTCACAGGTTGATATTCTGTGGCAAAAGTGAGCAGAAAAGATCAAAAAGAATTCAATAATTTCCACGTGTGGAAATTTTTCAAAAGCTCTGACACCTTTTCCCTCTCCTGAATTCCCCCCAAATAAAAATAAAAATAACACCCAGCCGACAATCCAAAGAAATATGTGGAGATAAGTTAAGGAGAAAAACTATAAATTCCGCCACTAATTTAGAGATTTCACAATCAACTTCCACTTTAGACACGAATTTCAGCGTGATCAAGAGTCAATTTAATTTCAATATTTTCTAAATTAATCTAACAGCTTTATGAGCTTCTTAATGCCATCTCCGCAGCTCTTTTGACCAATTTCCGTCCGCAATGCATCGCGCTCTGCGCGGACTTTGGTGAAAAGTCTCCCAGACTCGCGCGCACAAGGTGAAAAATTCTAAGCCATCTCTCGAGAGAGCGGAAAGAGAAGAGGAGAAAGATTGGCCGAAGAGGAGCACCAGCAATGATACCGATGAACTGTTTTCGCGTTGGCGGCATAGAAATTCATTATTTATGCTAATTGATTAATAACCAACAAGTCACACACGTTTTCGTGTCTCCTTCCACTTTATTTTGTCGTTGTTATATTAATCCAACCACAAGCTCCAGATTAATCAGACACTTTTTTTGGACGATAACACTGTAAACACATAATTTCCAATGAGGCACACACAACATCGATCTCAAATGGAATATTAAAATATGCAAAGTGCTGCCTTTGGTATAATTTAAACATATCATTATACTTTTCTCCTTCTTGCACGCATCTTCTCTCCATTCATGTCTTTTTTTCCCTGGATATTTTCCAGCTCAGAGACGCGTTCTTGCGCCTGTGTTCAGCTGATTTTCCCAACAATCCATCCGAGAGTGTTCTCTTGTAAATAAATAATCATCTCTCGAATATCTCACTAATCCAGATTGAAGATAAGTTTGGCGTGATTTGTTCACTTTTCTCTTCGTGTGATAGAAGAATAATTTGGAAACCATATTTTTCTCCTCTTTTCAACCTACAACGATAAATTTCCATAAAAAGCGCCAAGTTGGAGAATATATATATATTTTTGGGAAAATATTTCTCACAATTTCATACTTTCAAATTTTAACCAGATTCCTATCAATTTTTCAGTGTGTCTCCTCAATAAATTCCGTGCGCACACAAAGTTTATTCAACGGTGAAGAGTGAACAAATTGAATTAACATTTTTAATTTACGTTCCCCTGGGAAGGAAACATGTGAAACATTCAGTACAAGATCACATCAGTCAAACAATATGACTGAAAAGTGTATTGACGGCCGCCAACACCATCCGGAAATGATTCTCCGAACGCGCTTAGGAGATGAATTTTATACTACATGTTGCTAGAAAAAAAGCTGTATTCAATTGTTCTTTGCGCCAGACAGAAAAAGGAAGAGTCACAGATCCATCAGATGAATGAGTGAGAAACAATTCCTTTTCACAATTTCCCCACAAGTTGTCGGTGTGATTTTTCTCTTGCGAATTCAATTCAATTTGATTATTAAATTGTTCTTCTGCCCGCACAATTATTATCCGCGCCAGTGTTATTAGGCAGACGAAGAGGGAGTGATTCGCTGGTTGTGCGCCTGAGAAAGACAAAAAAGGTGAGAGACATTGTCTGCCATTGGGGCTCTGGACAGGGGGAGCGGACGAGGTGATGTCGATGGAAATTTTACAAATTGTTTGACGGTGACCCTCGTGACCCGACACGGCGGTCGCTTATGCGGAGGAGACGACGACGCCGCTGCGTCCAAATAAAAGAGATTCGATCTTGTGAATAATAATAATCACACTCTGCGATCGCCTCATCTTCCAACACCATCATTCGAAGGCACGGATCAGAAAAAAGTCATGAAGAGCAGAAAAAAGGAAGAGCAGGAACACATTCTGCCTTTTCCCTTTTCTTCATTCACCCATAAAGCATTTTGAGGGTGGATCGAGGAAGACTATAATGGCACAATTGTGTGTTTTTTCCACATACTTACCATGCGCCATGAGATTTCTTATTAATAAATGCATGTACATTATGTATTGTATCGCTCATCATTATGCTAGGCTCACAATTGTATGTAATTGTAATTGTATGTAAGAGTTTATGTAATTTGAACAAAGTTCCTTTAAATTTAAGTCAATTTCCTTCATTTTTGATGTTAATTTAAAAAAAATATTTCTGCAAAACCAAATATCTTTCATCAAATCTAGTGTTTAAAAAATCCAATTCTCTGTTTAATAAATTTCTTGACTCTTGCAAACTACAATTTTTCTTTGGCCAACACTGTAAACGCTGGAATACAATTGATTCTCTCGCAAAAATGTTATATTACACACACAATAAAGCTCAATTTATGCATTATAAAGCAATTGTTGAAAGTGTGTTTGAACGAAAAACGCCCCTTCAGACCATCTTTCTTCATTTTCCCTCTGTTTTCTTTTGCAAATCTGAGTCAAATGTGTTGCAACAACAATTGAATTGATCGAATCTCCTCATCCACAATAATATTGTTTATCATTTTGACGAAGGGGGGGCAAAATTACACGTCAGACATTTCTTTCTGCTCTGCCTATTTTGCATAAACTATTATTAACATTAAATTGTTGTCAGAATATAAAAGTCATGGTACTTGTATAGGAAAAGAAAATAAATCAATTTTAACAGATTTCGTCTTGTTCAGCATTAAATTGACTGTTGTGTTTTGTATTTCAATTTCTTTTCACGTCGAGTGTGTTTTTTTGCCCTTGAACACCATGTTACGGTTTTGTAACAGAAATAATTTACTTTGGGATACTGAAATTGAGTGGAAATTCAGAGATGGATCTCCAGGATGCAAAATCAAAACTTATAGAATTTCTAGAAGAGTTCGCTGACAGTTTCATCACACCATGATTTCCGTTTCTTGCGGAATATAATCCCTTATTTACTGTCATCATCGGCCAGATGGGGAAATATTCAGTTAATGGCCATCGGGAGGCGCATAGAGAATTTCTAGATATCGAGAATTCCTAATAATATGTATTACTGCTGACTGCCATCGAAAAGATTTCAAATAAACATTCCACCAGAGGTGCAATTTAGACTCTCTCTTTCTCTCTCTCGCGCTCTCTGAATTCATCGCGGTGGAGACAAAAAAAAGGAGTGAAATAATGATGACACGATTGAAGACTTGCCGCATCCAAAGTCAATTTTTCGAAAGCAAAACCAATAATCATGAAGATAAGTGTAAAAAATATGGCACGTTAGAATAATGATGATATAGTGTTCAGTGAGTTCTAGGCGCTCATCCTCCTCCTCTGCATCGATGTGTAATAAATAAATTCACACTTTATCTTTCACCGGATGGAAATTCCACAGACTCGAGCGCGCGTCAAAACCGTTTATAGCTGCCATCAATTTGGCAGATTTTTTATCCGTTCACTCACGCGCAAGGAGGAGATATTGTGGTTCGGAAACAGCACAGCGGACGTCCGAGGAAGTGTGAAAACACTCCATCTGAACAAAATTCAGTGACTAAACAGCATCTCATTGCAAATTGTAGAATATTAGTAGTGAAAACTGTTATAAAAGCGAACAGAATTCAAAGAAAATATCATTTCGAATTCAAGAACGTCATTGAAAAGCATTTTTTTCCATTTTATGACAAAGTGACTTCATTACAAAGCAATGCAAGCAGTGACAAATTGATATTGGATTGTGATCAGACGGGAATGAATGCATGAACAGCTCAAATCTAGGAAATGCTTGAGTGGGAAAAATACGCATTTTGACTAATTTGGCGGAAAGTGCGTGCGTTGCGTGCGATCTCAGGCGCGCATCTCCCCCTTGGTCACGCGTCATCTCGCTGTTGATTGAGGAGGACATCGAATGAGAAAGCAGAATAAATCTCCGGGCGCCTCCACTGATCCTCGACTTGCTCCGGATGGCATCTTCTTAATAGAGACATTGGACGATTAGAAATTCAAATTCTCACACACTCTTCAATTACTGTCATCGTCGCCGCGATAAGGCATGAAACATTGGGCAGAATATCTTGCAAGCAGAAATCCACATCGCGCCGATAAAAGTGTTAATGTTCAGAGCCCAAACTACATTTAAACGTTGCGGGCGTTCTCTATCATCAGCCAATTTACCTCAATTCCGCGCCACAACTATGGAGAAATTGTTGAATAATTAATTCGTGCGAGCTCGCCATGTTATTCACCTTCCCCCGCCCTCAACTACCGTTCTTGGCATCTCGTAAAAAAGAAGCTGAGCGAGAGAGAGAGGGAAAAATTCTTCAGCTAAAATACTCTGAAATATCGTCTATTTTATAATATAATTAACAACTAATGACAATCGGATTCTTTCTGCTCGAGCACCCAAAGATTCCTGCTGCTTCTGTTAATTTCATTTATGCTTTATTGAATAGCCGCCACGAGATGAAAATCTCCAATTTGGAATAGATTGTAAAGTCTCAATTCAGCGACTGATTTTATGAGATTGAATTAATCAGACGACGCTCTGCGCGATGATTCAGACATTCATTTTCCCCCCCCATCCCAGCGCGCAGCATATTTACACTGCTTTTCCAACACTCGCGGCACAATATTGTGGGGCCGCGTGATCAATGATCACCACCCCAAAAACCCACATAAAGGCGAACGCTAACGTGCATCACTGTGCGCGGTGTCATATTTCTGATTAATACAAATTTATTAAATTGGAAAGGTGAATAATTAATGCGGCAATTCACTGAATCACCCATAAAGATCACGCTAATCTTGTCATCGAGGCGTCGATCTCATGTTGTGAGGAAAATCTCGAACACGGCGGGTGGAATCGCACAAGAACGGTTCTTCCAGCTTGGCTCCAATCTCAAATAAAGGCACCTCCTTCTGCTCCATCAGAGACAAATGACATGCTGGTCATTTTTATTTAGAAGAGACACTCAATATGGAAGCATAAAAGCGCTAATATATGGATAATATATGCGAATTAATTAATAAATCAAGCCGATCAATAGACAAAAGAGAGAATAATATAAGATTTGATATGATTTTACATAGAGGAGAAAAAAAAGCACTTCTTTTTGTCTAAATTTGCAACCTCGTTGTCACAAATCTATGCCGAAGTCGTCAATAGTGAAATAAGACCAAAAATATTTTATGCAAATATCTCTTAAATTCCAATCATCGTTTCGTTTTACCATGAAGAAAATGCCAAAAACGTCGTCACCTTCGCGAGCTTCTTCTCGAGACTGTGCGGAAACTCAAACTTCCTCAAATTGTCGAGCAGACGCCAGTCTGAACATTTCCCACCGCCATTCCTGGTGAAATATCCTGCGGACTGTCCTGGATGCGGACGTTTCGGATGCATCCCAAGTACGATTGTCTCGATGTCAGGCCTCGAATCTGCAGAGAAGAACAATAATCACACAATAATCATTGCATTTAATAACTCTAGAGCGCTTACCTTGTGGAGATACGGATGTCCTCCGAGGAACAAGGGACGCGTTGTGTCTGCCGAAGGTGTCTTAGTGGGTCCGATTTTCGGTTGTGAGTTGATCTTGTTCACCTTAATCGTGATGACGAACTTCGACTTCACTACAGTCACAGTGCGCCACTCACCGTCACAGAAGTTCTCATTCGGTTCAGGATTGAACGTCGCCTCGAAAGCTCCGTCTCCGTTGTCCACCACAAAGCTTATGTTGCCCTTCACCAGCTGCACAATCATGAAAGCCTTGCGCCCGTGAACCGACAACAGCAGGCCATCCTGCGTGCGTGGCTTGATGTCCAGGGAGATTGTCATGTCCGTGCCAACGCGGAAGCGCTCGCGCAGCTTCACGAAGCCACCGCCAAAGTAGTGTCCCTGCTCAACTTGCTCTGAGCACGGAATGACGCCCTCGAGCTTGGCAGCGTCGCCAACGGGACGTCCGCCAGCTTGGAAGTTGCGCACGCATCCCGTGAAGTACTTGCCCTTCTCCAGCTTCAAGTTAATGTAGGAATCCTCCACAACTTGCGGCGAAAGCCCGCCCAGATAGTAAGGCGGATGCACTGACATGGCTCTCAGAGTTTCCGAAGCCTCGCCATTGGCAATATCGTCGTCATCGACAATCAACTTGCCCTTGCTGTGCGACCGCGTGAACACCACTGTGTGCCACTCGTTGTTGTGGTATTCGTACTGTGACGACATGTTGACCGTCGTTGAGCCTCCCTTGAACACGTGATGGAGTCTGCCCTTCTGCAGGTACAGCGCGATGAAGTCCGTGTGCCGTGTGTCGGCGGCATAGAAAAGAACACCATCGGGATCGGCAGTCTTGAACTGCAGCGAGAAGTCGTACGCTCGCTTCGGCTTGGTGGGCATCTGCAGGAACTCAACCCTTGTGTTGAGACCCGTTCCGAATCTGTAACCAGCCTCGAAGTCCACGTCCCACACAGGCTCGGCCGGAAGCCTGCATTCCGTCGGCGCTGGAGGCTTCAGTGTCACGGGTCGGCGAGTTGGACGCGGAGTTGTGGTGGTTGTTGTGGTGGGCTTTGGCTTAGGCGAAGGACTAGGAACATACACAGGTGCACTAGGCTCTGTCACGAACTCCTTCTCCGTCTCATCCTCGTCAATTTCATTTATGGTGTCATCGAATCTGGTTGGCAAATCCGGAGCGCCTTCCTCCGGATAGTAATGCTTCACCTTCCACAGTTCGTAGTCCAGGAAGTCTGACTGGCATTCGGCCAAGACTGCATTGGTCTTGTCTGTGGACTCTGCGAAGTTCACAACATCTCCGTTCACCGTCACATCGGTTATGCAACCCACAAAGTACGCAGTGGTCTTCAGTGCGTTCTTCGGCACGCGGAAGTTCCTCGGCAGGCCACCGAAGAAGATATCACCGAAGCTGATCTGAAGACGCGGAGCCGGAGCATCAGATCCATAGTGACTTTCATCGTCAATATCAAGTCTCAGACTCTGGCTGTCGTGCGTTGCCGTCACAATGTGCCACTCTCCGTCGTTGAGAGCCTTCCCAACAACAGCTTCCCTGTTGCTAGACAGAATGAGATGTCCATCGTGAAGGACAAGTCCAATGTTCGAGCTCTGGTCGTGATTGGCAGCATAGAAGACGACGCCTTCAGCCTGTTTGGTCCTGAACTTCAAATTCACTTGGAAGAAGTTGTCCGAGCTCACATTTCCTCGTCGCAGATAACCAGGTTCATTTGGCCTGAAGGTGAGCGATGTGGAGAATTTATCCGGACATCCCGGACGAACTCCGTAAGCCTTGAGATTTCTGCTGAGATCCACAGGCGATGTGGCAATATGGACACCATCAATGCAACCATCGAATCCTTGATTCGTCACTTCGCTGTGATTCAGTTTGCCTGGGAAGCCTCCGAAGTACATGGAATCGGAAATCCTGAGATTTTCATCGGTTCCCTCGAAGGTCTCCTCTTCGTACATCGGTTTGTGGTCCACAATCAGAACGCCCTTCCTTCCATCTCTCACCGCCTGAACGTCGTGCCATCCGTTGTCATTGAACTTGTCCGTTGTGTGCATGCTGACAGTGTGTTGTCCCAGCTTGAACTGGAAGTGAACTTCGCCATTCTTCAGCTCCACAGCGATGAAGTGTCGATTCTTGCCCGCATAGAACATCAGTCCGTCCTTTGAATCCCTGCTCGCCTTGAACTTGAACTGAATAGTTGATCGTGTCTTCATGAAGTACGGTCTCGCGTCCAGGATAACATATCCGTTGCCATTGAAGCGGAATCCAGTTGTTGGCGCTTCATGTGAGATCAATTTGTTCCTCTCCTTCGCGCCATCAGTGTTATCCTGTCCGTCCACGAAGTTCCACAATCCCACATTCTGATCCCCAATCTTCAGGTCCTCAATCTGCCCATCAAAGGAGTTGTACACAAGTCCTGGCTGTGGCACGAAATCCGGCGGATAGCCGCCAACAAACAGACGACTGTCCTTGTCAACGTCGAACACAGAATACGGTCCAGGCAGCGTCTCATTGACCACATGAAGCTTCTCCGTGCCGTCGTCCAGCTCCTCTCTGATGGTCAACTGCACATTGTTCCCCTGCCGATCGATTATGGCCTCGTGCCACTTCCCATCGGCCACGAACTTCCTGTTTATGATCTTCTCGGGACCATAGCCAAGATCCATCGTCAACGCCGGATAGCCATTCTCAATCTCCAGCGCCATGAAGTCATTGTGCTTGGGTCTGTTCTCTCCAGTGCCCTGCTCGTTGCCCAAGTACACGAGGAAGCCATTGGGCTTCTCAGTGTTGAAGAACAGCGACATTTTCGTATTTGACGCCAGAAGAGGAAGATTCGGCGGTGTCTTGAGCTCCAGAGTCGTGTTCGGATGGAAATTCACACCCACTTTCACGCTATTCGCCAAGTCTCTGGCCATTTCAACCTGCTTTCGCAGCTTTCCAATCCTATCCCCGAGATCACTCGAGATAAGATTCGTTGCGTTCTGCCGCTGCTCCAGTTCATCAACGAGATTCTCTAAGTTCGGCACGATCACCTTCACCTGATCCACTTGATTGGAGATCTGCGTAATGTCCTTCTGGGTCTTGTCGACCTCCTTTGGCAGTTCCTGTGCACGCGCCAAATCGTCAGGCAGTGACTTCACGATGGGCTTGAGAACTTTCAGAGAATCCCGAGCTTTTGTGTTAGCAGTATCTGAGGTGTCCTTCGCCCTCTCTAATCCTTTGGTCTTCGGGGTGGAAATTATGGAATCCAAGGTGGCTTTGATGGCGGCATTTTGATCCTCGCTGTTCTGATTGAGATCCTGAATTCTCTTCACGTCATTCATCGATTTATCCAGACGAGGCTTCAAATCAACCGACACCGCATTGAGCGCTTTCTGCGCATTTATCAGCAGATCACTCGCCACTTGATCCGAATGTCCTGCGCGATCTTCAATGCCCGTCGTGAGATCCGTGGCATTTCCAGCTGACTCAATTGCCTCTCGCACAGCTTTTCGGGCGTCATTTGTGGTGTTCACAATGTCAGAATATGCAGTTGCAGCTCGAATTGCTGGTCCAGAATTCGCCTCGATGTTCGACATTTGATCCTGAAGATCCTGCGATGTTAGCTTCAGATTCTGCGCATGAATGGCGGCATCTCGCAATTTCCCTGTCTTATTCCTGTAACTCTGCTCCTTGGTGGGAAGGACATTTCCCATAACCAGATTGATTTCCTTCAGATCATAATTCGCCCTGTCGATTTCCTTCGTGTTCTCTGCAATTTGTTGCATCGTTTTCGTCGCATTCTGAAGACGATGTCGTCCTTCTTGCAAATGACGACGAGCTTCCTTCGCTTGCTCGGCCAAAGTATCGAATTTCGAATTGATCTTCGCCTGTTTATTCTTCTCATTTAAGTATCTGGCACTCAGAGCCTTGTCCTTTGCACCTGTGCCCAATTTGAACACATCCGTGAGTCTGTCCTGGAACTCCATCGTGGCATTCTGCAAGTTCTGCATCTGCAAGTGCTGCAGAGTCGCTGGCAACTTTGTCACGTCAATGTGCATTAGCTGCTTGCGCGACTGCTCGAGTTGTTCATTCGCTGGCTCTAAGTCTATATTGTACGCTATGATGCTCTTGAGAAGTTCTTCAGCCTCTTCTATGGCCTTGTCGATGTGAGTCTCCTCCTCGGCATCATCCAGACTGTTTGCCAGCTTCTGAACCTCCGCCACAGTCATTTTGACCGCTCTATCTGTGTCGAAACTGCCTTTGAGCACTTCATTGGCTTTCTTCTTCAACTCGGACTCTTTCGTCTTGAGATCATTGGCATTCTGATCGGCATACGATATTCTTCGCTCGGCATTCTTCAACTCTTGCTCCAGCCCTTCGATGTCGTTGACCAAAGGATTCAGATTGACTCCTTTGGGATCGAGTGCAAGAACATCTGGTTGGATTTTATTCGCTTGTTCGTCAAAGTAATTCAATTTCTGCGCTGTAAAGTATCCGCCAGCGATTGTCTCAAAGTCCTCCACAACAGGACTTAATTCGGCTCTCAGCGAATCCGTGACATCGAGCAATGCGTGATGGCAGTGATCGCACTCACGACAGCCAGAATTGGGAATAAGAACCCATCGATATGGGCAAGAGTCGCATTTCTCCCCAATGACGCCAGGCAGACACTCGCACTGTCCGGTCTTCGCGTTGCAGCCCAATCCGCGAGAGTAGTCCGTGTTGCAAGAGCACGCTGAAAGCGAGAAATCACTCATTCAGTCAAAGATATTCAGTGAAATATATGGCTACTCACGCAAGCATCCTTCCGACGTGTAGTTCCAGAATCCTGGATGGCAGCGATCGCATTGACGACCCACAACGCCCGGCTTGCATCTGCATCCGCCTGTGTGATCATCGCACTGCGTGCTCTCCGAAGCCACGCCGCAGTCGCACGGTTTGCATCCCAGCCCAGAATCGAATCCATAGTGATCGTCGTCGCATCGATCACACTTGTCGCCTACGACATTTCGCATGCAGTGGCAAGTGCCGATGTGCGAATCGCAATACTCCGTTCCCAGTTGGTCGCACACGCAGCTTTGGCAGTCCTTGAGATCGATGGCGTCGCCGTAGAATCCGGGCGCGCACAGATTGCAGGCCGATCCGAAGGTGTTGTTGAGACACAGAAGACACTCTCCGCTCACAGAGTCGCACGATCCGGGCATTGTGGTGTCGATGTTGCCAGAGCAGTCACAAGGTCTGCAAGTGTGTCCCTCCTTCTCGGGCTCGCCGAAGAATCCGGCGGCGCAGCTCTCACATCGGGCGCCAGCGTATCCTGGCTTGCACTCGCAGTGAATCTGGTAGCCGTCCTCGGACACTTCGCAGCTGGTGGCGAAGTTGTTGCCCTCAATGGGCATGGGACAGGCGCAGATCATGCAATCGTACGGTGTGCCGTACGTCGCATTGCCGTAGTATCCTTCAATGCACGTCTCGCAGTGATCGCCCGTCGTGGAGTGCAGACACTCGTGGCAGATTCCCGTGTTGTAATCGCACGTCTTCGCGTGTCCGTTGCAGTGGCATGGGATGCAGTAGCCACCATGAGGACCGTTGGGATCGCGATAGTAGCCAGGAGCACAGTCCTCGCACGACAAGCCCTGATATCCAGCAGGACAGTAGCACTTCTCCACAGCCAGATCCTCGTACAGTCCGTAGTGCTCGAGATCAGCATCTGCCATGGTCAAGGCAACTTCGGACAATCGCGAGACTTTTGTGCCATCCCAGTAAGTTCCTCTGATGTAAATCTTCTCCAGGCACTTCAGCAGAGTCATGAACTGCTCACGTGTCACAGCAGCTCCGCTCACAGTTCTGCAAAAGACAATCATAAATCAATTAAATGCAAAGTTAGTAATGAATCAGCGAAAGTTGGCAGTTTACCTGAAATTCGATTCCACCATTTTCACCACGCCGCGGAACACGTGAGCATTGGCAGGCTGTTCATAGCTCTGGTGCACGAGAGTCTGATCCTTTCCCTTGAGAATGACATCGGGTGCAATGATGGCACTGCCGTAGAGTCCAGTTGTGTAGAGAATGGTGTACGTGAGATGTCCTCCGTAGGCTGTGAGATGATTATCCTGTCCCACGAGTCGATCAATCATGCCGAAATACACAACGCCGAGCTCTTCAGTGTTCAGCCCATTGAAATCCACTTGGATCTCAAGTCGCTGATCATCCACAAGGATGTGTTCCTTGTTGGGCTGCCACTCCTCGATGAGAACGTCCTCGGGCAAGGCAGCAATCGAAGCCACAGTCACATCTTTGAACATGCTGATGTTCAGTGGTCGCAAGAAGGCACTTTCACAGCGCGTTGTCTTGCCGAAGCAGAAGCACTTAGTGCATCCTTCGGGATTCGACGCCTGGAGATTGTAAGTGCCTTCAGCACAGTCTCGACAATTCGGTCCAACAACGTTCTTCTTGCAGTAGCACGACTCGTCAGCCTGATCGCAGATTTCGAAGGTCGTGCCGCGAACATCGCAATTGCAAGGATCGCAGTAAGGGAAGTTGAAGTAGCCGTTCTCGCACCTGTCGCAGGCTCTGTTCACCACATGAGGCTTGCACGAGCAGCTTCCGTTGTTGATGTCGCACTGAATATTGCCATAGACCACGCCGAGTGGATCACAGTGACACTCTCGACAGCCACTGACTGTGTCAAAGCCATACGCGTAAGGAGCGCAGCGATCACACTTCTCGCCAACGACATTCTCCGGACAAACGCATTCGCCGGTCTGCGGATGACACTGCGCCGTTGGTGGACAGTTGCAGGCTCTGCAGTAGGGGAAGCCGTAGTAGCCGATGCGACACGTGTCGCACTGCCTGCCCGTGATATGAGGTCCGCACTGACACTGGCCGCCGAAAGGATCGCACTCGAGACTCGTGGAGCCGTCAATGTCGCACGCGCACGGCAAAGCGCCGTGATTGTAGTCAGCCGTGAGCGAGAAGACGGCCTTCTTGCAGAAGTCAGACGCATTGAGCTGCACGTAGAAGTGATCTTGGCCGCAGTACTGGATGAATTCTTTAGTCTGATCGAAGGTTTCCTGGTTCAGAAGATACTCTTTGAATTGCTCCGCCGGCACGAGCAGCACGAAGTCCAGCCACACATCCTTGTGCGGATCAGAATTGGTCAGAGTGAGTGCGAAATCATTCTCAATGTCGAACCAAATGTACTCTCCTTCGCCCTTGATCAACTCTCGGCATCCCACATTGGATGGACAGTGACGCACCGGGAATTTGCCATCGTGTGATTGCTGATCCACTTGAATGCGATAGTCAATGTTGAATGTTGGATGATGAGGCTGATAGTACTTCACCAGCACCACATATCGTCCGGGATTTGGCACCTTTGATTGCACTTCCACAGTTCTTTGATCCTTCGCGAGATAGACAAGATTCGCATTGAGATCGAAAATGTTCACTGGATGGAACTTCGCCACCAGATCTTCGTGATCGGTCTCGAATTCTATCTTCTTGGAGTCCGGAGCTGTGCGGAAGGATCCCTGAACGCAGAGTCCATCGCGCATGACACACACAGGACTCGGCGTGACATAATCCAGTGACCATTCTTCCAGCGGAATCGCCGTGACGGACACAATGCCGACCTCATTCTGGCCAGCATTGAGAATGACTGTGTTGCTCACCTCTCGATCGTCCTTCCTGAGGAACACAATCTTCTCGCGAGACTCTGCATCGATTACCGGCTGGCGACAAGCCGTGGTGTACGGACAGGAATAGTACGTGATGATGCCATCCTCGTCGTTGTTGAACTTTACATTGCTGAGCACAGCTTCTGTGTTGTTGCGTCCAGTGATGTAATCCACAACGATTATGTATCGTCCAGTTTCCTCCACTTTCAAATCATAGTGAAGCGCCGGTTGATAGCCAGAGAGAATCGCGATCTTGTTGTTGTCCAGTATCTTCATGTCCGCAGTGTCCATGTAGTTCACATCGAGTATGATTATGTTGAAGTCCTTCTTATATGGATAGTATTTGGGCTCGTACATGTCCACAGATGGATATCTGTAGTGGCTGCAGAGGCTGAGATCCGAGATTTCGCAGGGATTCTCAATTTTCCTGGTCAACAGTGAGGCTTCGTAGTAAGCAGCTGGCAAAAGCACGAAGTAATCCAGAAAGATGACCTTGTCAATGCTGGTCTTCAAGATGTAATGGCCAGGATCAAGAACAACTGGTGAGGGAATTTCGCCTCTAGATCCGGAAACAGTCACGAAAGTGGGTTTATCTGTCGGCTTGAAGAGTACTTTCGCCCTGAAATGCACCAAAAAGAGGAATTATAACTCAAACTCTGAAGCTCAATTCGATTCACACTTACGTCTGATCAGCTTCACTGGGATTGTCCGATTGGATTGTAATCTGTCCAATGATGTTCTTATCCGATGGATTCACATAGCGAATTACCACACGATAGACCGACGACTTGAAGATGTGCACCTCATTGAGCACCTCAGTTTGCAGATTGGAGAACACCGCGTAAGCCTTCTTGCTGAAGTCCGGGAAGATCGTCTCGTCGTGATTGTTGCGCACAAATTCTCCGTGTGGTCCTCTGCCGTCCTCATATTCGTACTGATACTGATAGAGCGTCGGGAAGTAGTGAGTCGTGAGCGGCTGATTACACGTTCGTCCGGTGATCCTGGGATGACATTTGCACTGTCCGGTGTGTTTCTCGCACACGCCATTGATCGATCCTCCAATGTCACACCCACAATCCTGGCACCCGAAGAGACTGCCCGCGTGAAGATCGAATGTGCCATCCTTGCACATGTTGCACGTCCTTCCGCGCACTGTTGGCTTGCATGGACACTGTCCAGTCTTGATGTCGCAAGTGTCCAGAGCTCCAATTGTGCCATCCACAAAGCAGTTGCACTCCTCGCAGCCTTCAGGATTCGACACGTTCAAATTCCAGTACAGCGGTTTGCACATATCGCAAATACGTCCCGTGACGCGCTTCTTGCACTGGCACAACTCGCCGGCAGGCACTGAACCGCATCCAGCGAATTGCGATATCACACCAGCGGGATCACAGTTGCACTCCTCGCAAGCTGGGAAGTTGTAGTATCCCTCCTTGCACTGGCTGCACGTTTTGCCATCGAAGTTATTGAGGCACAGACACTGACCCTCAGCATTGCACGATATTCCGTCCGATCCGTGGATGTCGCAGTTGCATCGCAGGCACTCTGGGTATTTGTAGTATCCGGCGGCACACGATGAGCACGTCCTTCCGGCGAAGTTCGTGATGCAATTGCACTTGCCTGTCGCGTCGCAGGACATGGACACACTGCCGTCTGTCGAGCAGTTGCATGGCACGCAATCAGGATAGTTGTAGTAGCCGTTAATGCATCTATCACATCGCTGACCACCGTAGCCTTCGCGACAGATGCACTCGCTGGTGTCCTTGTTGCACACCTCATCAACAGTGCCGCGAATGTCGCAATCGCAGTCTGAAGGGGAAAGACAGTGGGAAATAAGCAGCCTGAATTAGAGAGTAAAAACATGTCCGACACTCACAAGCACAGCCAGGGAAGCCAAAGTATCCGTTCTTGCAGGTGTCGCAATGCTTTCCGGCATAGTTCCTCAGACACGGACACTGTCCGTCCTCCTTGCACACCAGGCTCACCGATCCCAGAGGGAAGCATTCGCAAGCTGTAAATAATTTAATTATCGATTGCCACAATATTGCCCTCCACACAAGATGGTTTTCTACTCACGCGTGCATTCCGGGAAATTGAAGTATCCTTCAGCGCACTTCTCGCAAAACTGGCCAGCGAAATTTGGCTTGCAAGGACAGCTACCGTCGTGTGGCTCGCAATAATATCCCTCGGTTCCGTTGAGATTGCACGTGCAAGGCCGACAATCGGGATATCCAAAGTGTCCGTAAGAACAGGCATCACAGAATGGCGGCTGGAACTCCTTGCGGCACTCGCAGCGTCCAGTCTCCTCCTCGCAATTCCCAGTGGAGTAGTGCTGATTGCAATTGCACGGATGGCAGACGTCGGTCTCGTTCCAGTGACGCCCGCGCGGGCGGTAGAAAGTGGGCTTGCATTTGTTGCAGTTGATGCCCTCGGTGTTGTGCTGGCAGTGCTGACAAACGCCTCCGCCTTCGTAGTGGCCGTGAATGTCCAGCGACAGACCCTTCTCGTCTATCTCCTCATCGTAGACGCACGATCCGGAGTGGCCGAAGCAGTTGCAAGCTGAGAACGAGAGAGAGAAAGAGAAGTGCTGTGAAAAAAGAAGGTTTGCTCGTTAATCTACTCACGTTCGCAGTGGAAAGGACGAGCGTTGGTGTTTTGGCGCCACTTCTTCTGCTCAAAGCCCGGACAGCACTCGTTGCAGTGAATTCCGCAGGTGTTGTGGCGACACTGACAAGCCAACACGCGGTTGGGACTCGAGGGATCGAGGATGTGGCACGTGTCGGCGTGTCCGTTGCACATGCAACGACCTCCGATGGAGATATCCTTGATGGAGTAGAAGTAGCGACGAGTGACAGTCGGATCCTGTCGCGCGACAGACATCAAGTGTCCCAGAAGATTCTTCGTCCTCAGCAGCCGAATCCTCACATTCGTGGCTCTCGTCCACTCCTGCAGAATCGTGGAGTTGAAGTAGTTGTTCGCCGAAGGACGATTGTTCAGCAGAGTCACTGGAATCTGCAAGAATATCGAGATGAGAAACAGTCCCAATTCCATCATCTCGCGACAATTACTTCTCCACTCTCCAGAGGAACAATCTTGGAGTATTCAGTCGTGCAAATCACGTCATCGTCCTTCGTGATGGGCTTGAGACTGTCTCTGCCGAAGTACGTTTCACAGTCAGCCGGAGTGTCGGAAAAGTGCTGCCAAGGCTTCCACGTCTTCCCATAATCCGTGGACTTCTCGAGAGTCCACAAACCTGGACGAGGTGAATTTCCCATGCGAATGAACAAATATGCCACATGGAATTCCTGCAAAAACATCAAAGCATTGAATGGACCGCAAAAACCCACGATAAGATGCTTCCGTTGCTGACTTTTATCTCTCTCTTGCCTTGCACTGGTAGAAAATCTCAAAACGAGTGAATTGTAAGCGCGTTTCACTGGCGGCCACAGAATAATTATATCAAAAAGGAAGTGAAGAAGATTAAAATTGCTGAATAAAATCGTCTGTGAGCAGAGATGAAATTGGAGACTTCTCGTGCTCGCGCTTCTTGGGCGAGAAGAAAATGTGATTATTTAACAATTTCAGTGAAAATAAATCCGATGGAGTCATCGATGAGCAGCACATGTTCATCGCCACGAAATTACTCTGGCAAATATTTATTTGACTTCAAGTTGATGGTGTTCAATGTAAACTGATTTTCTCATACTAAGCTTAAAACTCCTCTTCACACTCAATTCTTACATTCTCTCACAGAGATTATCACTGTTTCCGACTAAATAAGCGACACTTTGAGAGGAAAAGTGCGCCTCCAAAGTGGCGATGGAATTAAATTTCATGCTACATTTGTGCGCTTGAGAAGATTCAACTTATCGCAGCACTTTTTCTGCTCTTCTTGCGAGGGTTTTTCAAATTCTCTCAAATTCCCTCTCTTTCGTGCGGCTCACGCATAAACAGTGCGCTTGTTCAACATGTGTCCCTCTTGCCATGGCACAATGAGCCAGAAAAATTGACGAGGAAGCGCTGCTGGGCTTAAAATAGCTCCAAGAAATCCATAAACACAGACTTCATCCAGTGGCGTGTGTTTGCTTTGGCGTGAGATCATCCGCTGGTATGATCTCTTATGCAATCGCACATACTCTTGTTGACTTACTTGGCCGAAATCGATGGTCAGATTCACTTCGTTGTACTTCATCCCTCGCGACAGCGGCGGACTCTGCCACCAGTTCTCCGTGCCGTCGATGGCGTACGTCGGCGGGTGCGATTTCTCCGGGTTGGTCGGGTCGCAATAGTCGCAAACCTATGCAAGAGATCAAGAGCGTGAACCAGAAATTCGGGACACAACGCCAGAGTTCATCCTAGGTCAACAACTCAGAGATTTGCGCTTATCTCTTTGGCCGACTATCAAAGACTCAGCATCCGGCAAAGCTCTCAGTTCTGCTCTTTAACGTTTCCTCAATGAAATATGATCAAATGATTCTTTAACTCGGATTTCTTCGTAACATGATTGAAAAATTATAAAATACTGCAACAAAGCTACAAAAAATCAGTTTTTGGTTCAAATTTCTACTATTATTACGCATTTTCTAACTAATTCTTAATCTGCATTCGTCATACGTGATTTTTCTTTGCGTTTGGTATCTAAATCTTGCAGTGTTTGAAAAATTTAGACGCTTTCTTTCTAAGAACTTCAATTTATGACTATTTAAATTTGTCTAATATTGATTTTTATGTCAGTTTCACTGCATTTCTTGGCAAGAAATAAAAGATTGCCTTCATTTTCTTATCAAAAATTACCAAATTGATCTTGTAACTAAATATTGTGTCCATGAAGCATGTTTGATAGAGACAAAATAAAATATATACAATTACTTTAAAGAAATTAAGAAATAAGGGGCGGAAATAGAGTATTTCACGTAGTTTTCAATCGTACAAGATGCAGAACATCGTAAAGTTGAGGCTGAAATGATTTTCTCCACTCACTTGTCCCTGGATCAGTTCATAGTAGCTGTGGTCGTTCTCCGTGTTGGCGCCAACGAGCTTGCAGTACAGCTCAGGTCCGTCCGTGTCCACGCCGCACGTCGCCGTGGCGTAAATCTTGCGCCCCTCGGCCAGATTGAAGTACGGCGGCGTGAGTTCGGCCGCACTTGTGATCGCGGGCAAGAGAGCCGCGATCAGCAAGATCGCGCCTCCACTGGGCCCCATTCTGCGCCCTGCAAAGCAATTACACCACGCTTTTATCCTAATTTATGGCTCACGCTCGGCAGAGGTTCACCAACCGAAGCACCTCGAAGCCCTCGAACGGGTGAATGGAAGCGGAGACACTGAAATCACTGAGGGTCCGATTTCTGGGAACTGATCAGCACACAAAAAGATCACTGAGGGCGTTCCTGCCTTCTTTTTTTATTCTTTGTTACTTCACTGTGGGCAGAACACTTCTTGGCCATCCGCGCAGGATGGTCTTCGGCGCACGACTGAAGCGAGAATGGGAATTTTGGGCGCTCAGGCCGACCGTTTGGGCCGAAGGCACGAATTTTCCCACACGATCGCGCCAGAAATCTCTGCTCCTCCTCGAGATGCAGCCGCCGGAGAGCCACGAAGTGCGTTCATGTAATCTCGGATTGTACATATGTATGTTCTTCATCTCTCCTTCGCATCATTCGTCAATGAGCGCGCCTCCTCAAGCCACACACTCTTTCTCCATCGCAGCTTATCACACTTCTGCCAGCATGAATTATCTCCTCACGAGTAAGACACATTTTTTTCTACAATAATTGTTTATTCACTGAAATTTCTTTTTGATCATTGTGAAATACAACTAACAAAAATATTCTATTATCGAAAGCCAATGCAATTTACATGTAATTGAATTTTTATTAATTGAAATATCTAAGTTCTTTTTTGGTATCATGTTGACATATTTTTTTTCTCTCTCTTCATTACTTGTTTATCAATAATTTAGTAGTTTATCAATTATTTAATTTCACTTTCTCATGTCAAAAATTTGGGATATATAACACAATATCAAACACGATAGATTGTGAACATTGTAATAGTTATTTGGTTATCATTCTCATCGAATTCTTGCATAACAACGAAAAAAGAGTATTTCTGCAATGTTAATTATACTTAAAACTTTGTGTATACTTGTTCACAATTTACACCATAATGTTATTTACAATGGACTGAAATAAGAATATCATACATAAATCATTGAAATATGACTCTAGAGTGAATGTAAGAAATTCAAGTTGATGCAAATCATTCAATAATACCTACAATAAATATTGCAATTATGGCAAAACAACAGAAATAAATTCTTCCCTTCTTCCCATCGATCACTGAATTGAGGACTTTTGTTAGAAAAAAAAATTTCCTTCACGACTAAAATGCAATTATATAGTATTTCAAATCACGAGTATTGGATCTTGGCAAAATAAATCGCTAATATCTGGCCGTGTTAGAGTGTAAAAAATAAGAAATGACTTTCATCGTAATCTGCATTGAAATATTGCTGGAATTTTTTTTCACCTCAAATGGCAAAGTTTGTATGAAATATTTTTTTAAAATTGTTACTTGTTTCAACCCTTACAAAATTCTGTATTTGACTTTGTGACGCAAAATACTGTCGAGCGTATATTTAATTGTTAAGATCTTCTGCATGAGCTTCAAGCTGGTGCGCATCTTCTTGCCATCGCGCGTCTCTCGCCCCACCCACATTCTCGTGGTGGATCAGATGTTGTCATCGAAGTTTGCAAAGTTCTTCTCCCACTTGTAGCTGTCCGGCTTCTTGCGCGGCTCTCCCTTGTCAGGTTCTGAGCTCTTGAAGAAATCATCATCCTCGAACGGATCCTCCGTCTTCTTCGCGAAGATATTCACCGACTCCGACTTCTTCAGGTGGTCAAAGTTGTTGCGACTCGCCGTGTTCTTCAGCGACTTCTTCGGCAATTCGGCACTCCACTGATCCTCACTCTCGACATTCAGCTCAGCCTTGCTGAAGTCATCCTCGAACATGTGCTGCACATTCTCGTCGAAGCGCAGCTTCGTCGACGGCGTGGAGAAGCCGCCGGACTCGAACGAGTAATTCCCGGCCGTGTGCGGTCGCGGGGACTCTTTGGAGTCAGAGAAGTCATTCGAGAAGCGATAGGACTTGCCATTCGACGGGGAATTGAAGTCGCTCTCGAAGCCCTGCTCCTCGTCGAAGTTGAACTTGCTGCTGGTGGTGCTTCGCGGTGTGTCTTCGTACTCCTCAAAGTCGAACTCCCGCCTAAAGTGTCCCTTGGCCGCCTTCAGTGCGCCCTCGTCGAACGTGGCGAACTTCTGCGGATGCTCCACCTCGAAGTACGGATCGCGCGACAGGTGCTTCTTGAAGCGCCTCTCCTCCTGCCCACGCAGCGTCTCACCCATTGACCGAGTCTCGGAGCGCGGCGTCGTGCTCTTGAAGAACTGCTGCTTCGTCAAATTGTAGTAATCAGCGTCCGGCGGCACTCTTCCCGGTGGCAATTGCACGTCATCGAAGTCATAATAGTCATCGCTGCGGCAACTGCGCGCCTGACTGTATCGCAAGCTGGCATAGTTGACCCGCGGATCGCTGTCTTTGACCCTCACGCGCGTCTTCTTCCTGAAGCGCCGATCTTTCTCACCGTCCGACCCAGACAGAGTCGTGCCGTGACTCAGCATTCGGCGGCTCTCCGCCAAGCGCCTCTCCGACTCACTGGCACTCGCCGGACGCTTCCACGCCGCCAGAGAAGCCGTCTTCGTCTGCCCCGTCGGCGTGACCTCCTCTCCGTCCCACGGCGACGAGCCGCTGCTCTTGCGCGGCCGTCCGCTGCCCTGCGGCGGACGCTGCAGACTCCGCGTGTCACCAGGACGCCTTGTTCCCATCTCACCATCCGAATCCTGCTCATAGCCGTCGTCTTCGGTACTCCGGCGGATTCCCTTGCGCAAGGATCTGCTCTTCTCGGCAGACAAATACCTGAAAATGCAGGATACGCTCAATAAGCCGCTCAAATCCTTTCATCTTACTAAATTTAATAGCTTTCTCATGTCCTCCCTTTCCACTCATCCCACATAGTCAAATCGAGCTTAGAATTGAGTTCTTTGACTCTCGCATCACATCTCTTATCAGCATGATGTGAACACGAAATTCGCATTCCAAAGAATTCACACAAATGCAATTCCAGTGCTTTTATAATATCACATAAATTATGACATTTATTACAGGAAAAATGTTTGTGATATGAGACGAGATATTTACTCACCATTACACCACACTTTAATCCAATTTGACGCCCTTAGACAGATAATATGCACTAATTTCTAATTCATGGACATTCTAGAAGACAATTCACGATGTTAAAACCACTCATGAGTCTCAAACGAGGGATAGTTTACCCTTTAGACTACGCCCATGAACTAGAGCTCATTTAATCATCCCACATGCAATCACCAACGTTAAATTGCTGACTATTTAATCTCAGGAATCACAAAAATATTGCAAGCTGATAAATAGAAGGTTGATGAGACAAATAACATTCAGTTCATTGATCAATCTTCAACCATGAAGATCATTTTCTTACTTCTGGCTTTAATTGCCTTGTGCGCAGCTCGTGTCCACCACAGAGGACATCAAGTTCACATTCAGGCATCTGTAAGTTAATCTGCACCACTTCTAGCCAAATTAAGACAATTAAGAGTGCCATTTTCTCTTATACAGCACGAAATTCATGAGAAAAGATCACATTCTAAGCCGCATAGTGAACTCTCGCGTGATTATATCAATCAATACACAGCAAATCTCTGGCAATCAAAGCACTTCCTCACCAAGGATCGCATTTAAATACTATATCATGTCAATTATGTACAAATAAATAGCCATTATTCAGTAGATGACTTGACAATTACTCTTCTTTCAGCATGAGAATGAGCATCACAGTGTGAACAACAACAACAATCACCATGATCACGAACAAGCTTCCAATTATTGGTTCAACGTTCCTCACTATGACTATTACGGACGTCAGCATCTCTCGAAGCCTCACGCTTAGTCATGAGCGAAGGGATGAATTCTTGGGAAAAATCAAAATAAAGCAATAAACTCACCTTGAGCGATCGATGTAGTCATCTCTCATCACTTCCAAACTCCCGTACGTTGCGTCGCGATTCCCGAATCTTCCTCCACAGCCACTGTCGTAAGACTCGCCACTCTCGCGGTCGAAGCTCTTGCGATCGTAATAGTACTCACGCGGCTTGATGCGATCGCGGCTGCTGCTGCGCTCGAAGGCTCCACCAGTTGACACCGCCTCAAACACGTCCACGTACTCCTTGCGTGACGCCTTGCCCGCCGCCTCGCGTCCTCTGGCCATCTCGTACGCTTCCGCATCGTCATACCCCTCGAAGTCATAGTCTCCCGTTCGCGCGTAGGACCCGAAGTACTTCCTCTTGTCATAGCGCCCAGAGTAGCCGCCCTTGTGCTCGCGCTTCTCATACGGCGGCCCATAAGTGCTCCTCTCGTAGGAGCTCCTGTCGAAGGATCGCGCACGATCGTCCTCCTCAGCCGGCGACCAATTGTGCGCATCGCCACTGTGATACCAAGCGCCCGTGTCGCCACCCTCGAACGTCTCCCGGCTGCGCGTCACGGGCACCTTGGAGCGTCTGTCGCGCTTCTTGCTGAACTCCATCTCGTACCTGGTGCAAGAACAACAACCAAAACTTTCTTCTCATCTCTCTTCGGCCCTCACCGTGATTCACATCACGCCTACTTACTCATAGTCCTCATCGCACGAGTTCATCCGCCGTCCGTGCCGCATGTAGTGTCCGTGGCGATCCGTGCTCAGCGGCGGACGTCGTCGATATTCAGCCGGCGTGTCCTCATCCCAAGGACTCACGTCGCGTGAGGACGACGATGTGTGTCCTCTCGGCGGCCAGCGACGACCAAACTCGCCCTCACCCTTCCAGTCGTCCTTGTCCGACGAACAGGGACTCTCGCCATTCTTCGACGGATCTTCACACATGAGAGAAAACATTGATAAACACTGTTCGCTTGAGTCACTTCATTTCATCTCACCTCGAGGACTGCGAACAGGAGCTTCCTTCTCCTCTGATGGCGCATCAAACACTGCCCAGGAATCGCTATTGACCGGAGTTGGTTTCCCTTTCTGGGCATCTATAATCGGCAAACAATGAATCAGAAAAGAACTCTTCAATCTTAAGATTAAAACTCACCTTCGTTCTTGTCAATGTCCGGCGAAGACACACACACCACATCGCTCAGAGATCCGGAGTTTTCCTGCCTGTGAGTCTCCAGGATATTGGCCACCCCGTGCGATTGGGGAATGGTGGGAGATTTGGAGGAAGTTCCTTGCTGATTGACTAGATTATCAATTGGTGACTTGGCTAATGGCGAGCGTTGCAATGGCGATCGCGATATTGGAGACTTCTGGATGGGAATCGGCGACGTGGACATGTCAGTCACTGTGGTTTTGCCGTGAATCACTGGCTCCTGGCCACTTTCGCCTAACTGCGGCGTGGTGAGAGTGGGAGATTTGGACTGCAACATGACTGGCGTGTTTTGCAGTCGAATCGGCGACGTGGAAGCATTCTGTGCTGTGGCCACGGGAGATTTCGACGGCGACAGATGATCTCTGCTGTCCAGCGATAGATTCGAAATGGCCCTATTCATCAGCTCATCAATCTCAATGTCATCCTTCATTCCTGCCGCCGTGAGACTGCTCGTGCTCATGGCCGGCGTGTTTGCATCCAACAGAGACATTTCCTTCGCCTTCTCGCCATCGCTCTCCTCCTCGTCCTTCATCTCCTCCTCGCACACCTGCGAAGTCACCACAGTCGCCGACGTGGGCGCTCTGTCGAACAAATCCTCCACCAGAATGATGTCCCTCAGCGCCGCGTAGCGATCTTTAGCTTGAGCAATGGCCTCCGTGATTTTCGTGTCAATCCTCGCTGCCTGGAACACACCGTCCTGATCCGTCTCCGGAGAGCTTCCCGCCGCCACAATGGGACTGATCCTCTCCAGAGTGTCCTCGAACTTGTCCTCCTCCTCCCTGTCCGCCGGAGTATCGTCATCCTTGAATTCACTGCCCATAATCTCTCTGAACGCCGCGTATCTGTCGATGGCGGAAGTCTGCAGAATCGGCTCCGGAGGCTTGATGTCCATCTCATCGAAGTTCGCCACGAACGTCTGTCCGCCGAAGTTGTCATCGTCGTCAAACTTGGCCACAAAGAGCTGATCATCGCTCTTCTGGTCGAAGTTCACCTTGAAGATCGCCGCAGTCGGAGCTGCTGGCGGCGGCGGTGCCGGTTCCTCAGGCGCCCCCATCGGAGGTGTCTTCTTGGCATTCTCCAGGAAGTCCGACAAGTACGTGGTCAACTCCACCAGCGTCATTGTGCTCAGTTTCGACACTGGAACGTTGAGCTTCAGTGCCAGCTCGTCAATGCCGAGCGTCAGCAGTTGACTCAGCGTGATATCCGGCAGCACTGGAGGCGCTTCTGCGGACTTTGCTGGCTTCGGATGGCCCCTAATCTCACTCACATCGACCTTCCGTCCGCGAGACTTTGTGCCCGCCTTGGCTGGCGGTGGCAGTAGAATCGGCATCTCGCCCTTCGACAGCGGTGTGAGATATTCCTCGTCGTCAGTGGGCTTCTTCTCAGGCCTCCCCGGACCCGGATAGCTGCCGTCCGAGCGGCCAATGCGGCGCGACGGCAGTGGCAATGGCGGAGCGTCCACCGAGTTCTTCATCTTTCCCCCAGCGTAATCGTAGCGATCGCGATAGCCATAGCCAGAACTCGCCGATCGACTGCTGGGCCGAATGACGATGTCCCCGAATTGCTTCTTCGGCGGCAACGGTGGCGGTTCGACGTGTGTTGATGAGTCCGGCCGCGGCGGAGGTTCTGGCGCCGTCTCATTCTCACTCATCGAGTCCGACTCCTGTAATCGCCGCATATTTATACTGTTGGAGTCTCTCTTGGAGAACTTCTGCCCGAAGAGATGCGGCTTCACGATCTTCTTCGAGCTTATGCTACTGATCACATCCACTGTGTTCTGCTTGAACACACTCGGGCGATTGCGAATGATAGCCGAGGCAGACAAGCCCGTGGGCGAAACGGAGTTCTGGCGATCCAATCGCCTCTGACTCATGTACGACGGCCAACTCTCTGGCGGCAAGTTCACCTGCAGCGGCCCATTGAAGACATTTTCCTCCCCCTTTCCCTCCTCCGCGCTGCTTTTGGTATCACTCAATACTGCTGTTTGGTTCTTGGACGACACAAAGCTCTGCCCCTTCTCGAACGAGAAGTCAAACGGATCAATGGACGCCCTGGCGAAGTCCTCATCATCGACAAACGGATCAATGTGTCCTTTGGTAAACGGATCAGAAATCTCCTTGGTCAGAGAGTCATCAGTCTTTGCACTATCCACACTCCTGTTCACCTCATCTCTCACCTTCTCCGGCACCTGCACGGACTCAAACATGGCCAAGTCAATGTCACTTATCCCACTGTCGTGCGCCCTGCCCTCCTCATCAGCACCACCACTGCCGCTCATGCCCGAGAATGTCGCCGTGAAGCCCGCGTCCGGGCCGGACAGCTCGCGCAGCACCTTCTTGGGCGGATTCTTCAGATCTTGGAAGAAGAACTTCTTGTCCACATACGGCCTCGTTCTTCCCGTGCCCAGCGGATCGAGATCCGTAAATGCATCCACATACTTCGTCACCGTCGCGCCGTCAGCACCGCCCAGATTGCTGCCGGTGCTGGTGGATGCGATCAGCGAATCCTCCAGAGACTTCTCCTCACCTCGCGCCGCCTCTTCGAACACACCGTCCGACTCGCCCACGTTCATCCAATCCTCGCGCGCCGATCCGCTCGCCGACGCCGACTGTACAGCCGGCGGAGTCTTCTCCTCTGCCCTCTCCTCACACGGCGGCTTCAGCGGCTTCGAGTGCCGCGATCGAGACGATTCCGGCGGCGGCAGCAAATTGTAAGACGCGTGCTGTGAAAGTAAACCACTCAATTGTCTCCAAATCCACGCAAACAACACCCGAAAAAACTCACCGGAAACTTGGTGAAGGAGTCTCCAAAGGGATCTTCACTGTCCAGTGAGGACTTCGACGGCAACTCGTTGGGCGTTATTCTCTCCATTTGCGTGATGCCGCGCTGAATAGAGCTCAGCTCTTGCTCCAAGTCCACCAAATCTGCCACTGATTCCGGAGAAAGCTGAGCCACAGAGCAGATATTAATGAATAATTCCAGTACAAATTTTATGGATTTGTAGTTTTGACACAATTCAATAAATTTCATGCATTGCACTTGACTATGATTTCCCTTAAATTGCTATGTCGTCATTGTTGTTGCTGCGGCAAAATGTGTTTTCCTTCGCACTTTATTATCACGTTTCAATATATTCATTCGTACAATATTGTGAAAAATTAAATCAACAATTTGCCTCTCAATACTGAACAATATCTTGCAAGACAATCTCATGTCATCATCTTCAAATGTACTATTAGAGAGGAAATTTCAATGTGATTTCCATGGAAAAATCAACTATTAATTCATGTAATTGCAAGATCAAAATTTGATAAATTTAAATTAGCATGTGATGCAATTTTGATCGTGAAATCGTCATAATTTCTTGTTTTCTTCAGGTTTATTTCTCATTTCTAGTCCTTCTTCTTTCTTGATCTTCAAAAATCGAAGCTACTCCGAAAGTTCTCATTGCTTTACAGCATATGCTGCTGCAACAATTGCAGCACGACACTGTTTTATGCTTTAAGAATAATAATGCTGTTATCATGGCGAACCGCAGCGATAACGAGGAAACTTTAGTGCTAATTACACTGTGACATTAAGTGTGGGGAAAACTTTTAACTGAAACTAACAAACCACGCCGTTATGGCCGAGATTGAAGCCAATTGGCAATTACTCTGCTCCGCAGCGATAAGAAATCCCCTGAGGAATGCGAAGTGATTTCGGCCCGAAATTCCAGAGCGGATTACTCACCTCTGGCCTGGCGATGCTCTTGCTGGACGCGCTGACCATCTCGTGGCTCTTCGTGTAGCTGCTCTCGATGGTGCGACTGAGCGTGATGGGATGGTGCTCGTGGATGGTCTTGCTCTGGATGTTCTGGCGCGCCAGCTCGATCTCCTTCTTCTTCAGCTCGAACACCACCTGGAAGAGGTCGCGCATGGCCAGCACCACCTGGCTGGCCGCCTTGTCCGTCTTGATGCCGAAGAAGCGGTGGCCACTGTCCGGCGAGCCGAAGATGTAGCCGAACGCGCGCGAGTCCGTCATGTCCTGGGCGATGAAGGAGATCTTGTGTACCGGGTGGTGGTACAGGGAGTCTCCCGTCTTCTCGTCGCGCAGCCGGAGCCCGTCGATGGTCACGTGAATGGTGATGCGCTGCTTGTGCTCTCCCGCCGCCCGAATGGCCATCTTGAGGTCCTGCGGAGCACAAGAGAGGAGAGTGAGCACCCTCGGCCCGCCCGGATCTCGTGCCTAAGACTCACCTGGAGCGCCTCCTGACACATCCGGTCGCCGCGCGCCTCTCCAACCTCCAGGATCCCGATGAGTTTCGCCTTGAACGTCACGCCATCGCCGAAGAACCTCCCCGGATCGTTTCGGTCTGCAAGAGAGAAGAGAGAGGAGCGTGGTGAGAGCGCATACAAGCCAAGGGCAGTGATCTCTGTGGTGTAAATGTGTCTGGATGAGTGTCAATCTCCTGAATTTTATTACTTGGCACTTCCTGGTTCGCGTTCATCACGACACTCGCTTGCACTCTCGCGTACAATCGCCAGCTGTGTGACCTCACACCACTGACCCCATGCCTCTGGCCAGGAACGCTGATCTTGCGCTGGTGGAGTGCCTCTGGCAAGTGCGCGATGTGAATGAATGTCAAATTAATTCACAAACACCCCGAATGGGCGAATCTCGACGCAGTTTTCTATCAAATCCATGACGTCACCGTTTATGGCGCCCCGCACGAGCGGAGCCGACATTGGCCGAATGAAAAATTGAGGAAATTGCATGGATTGTCGCCCTTTTTCAGGCCTCCCATCTCGTTTCTTCGTGTGAAAACTGCCGTGAAAACACACTCACATTTGCAGGGGCTTGTTTTCTTACGCAATGTCTGCATCTCGAGGTACTCCAGCTTGGTGATTTGGAAAAGAACTCACTGCAACACCATCTTAACGCCTCGCGGCAATTTTCACCCACAAATCACCCGCTCTCGCGACGCTGTGCCGACTCAAACACTCCTTGAGACTGTGGACTGCCACCCACGCACGGCAGCAGCCCCAAATATCACTGCAATTGGGCAGAAAAGACGGAAAAGTCTGCGACTGGGACACACCGGCAGCACAGCGATTATTATTGATTTAATTTTTCGCCGCCCTTCGCCGCCAAGGGTTGCCACACGCAATGGTTCTTTTAGGCGGTTTTTCGATGTGATTTTCCAATTCTGCACTTTCACACCGCGAAAGTCACTCCTCGTATGCACAATACAATTTGAAGACAGAAAATTCTGCACACAAAGCCAGCGAAAACGCAGTTGCACAAAGAAATGCATAAAAGAATTTTTCCGGGTGCTTCTTCAGAGCCCTCTAGTGGTGTCTGTGCAATTTCGTCTTATTGGACTGTGAAACTCGCAAAATAGCAGCAATAAATGAGTTTTTATATCACAATTTCTCTATTTGCTCTTCTCTGTTTTCCGCGGACGACAACAAAGCCATAAAGATTCAGTGAAAATTCCTGGGGCATAAATCCCGCCCGGACTTTGCTCCTCACCGCCAGAGGCGCTGGCGAGCCGCTGTTCGCTTTGCCGCGCCTTCGTATTTCGCCGTCGTCATTCGTGCTCGAGAATTCATTGTGAAAGGGTGCTCATAGTTTTCTCTCCAGCAGTAGTGTGTGAAGATTTGGGGTTTTCAGTGGAAATTGGCCGTGCAGTTGCTCAAGTAACCCAACTAATTGTGCTCAGGACAAGGCGGCAGCAAAGGATACAGTGCAAAAATGAATAAATCATGTGCTAGATGCAGCAAAATAGTGTACCCGATTGAGGAGTTGAAATGTTTGGACAAGGTCTGTGTTTTTCCCGCATTTATCCATCTAAATCCCATCTCCGGCTGCCAGAGCGGCGCCGTGTGTGGAAAAGCGACGCCCAAGTGCGGTATTTGACCGACTTTTCGCGAAATAAAATCCCTACATGCCAAAACATCACATCGCTGCTGCGATGGCGTTACGGAAAACGTCGGGCGCGCAGAGAATCTCGTTCGGAAAGTTTTCGGAACCAGTTGAAGTTGCACGTTTTTGTGGGTGGGGGAAGTGTGCTCTCACGATCGAGGGTGTCCCGCACACACTTTCCTTTTCAAAACAACCTCTCCCTTCGCGGCAAACCCGTTCTTGCAGGCCATCCCAATTTGCGATGCAATCGCGCCCGAGAAGGTCAGAAAAGCCGCCAATTGGCAACAATTGGAGCCGCGAAGCGCCAAGTCAAACGTCCTTGAACTTTGCCTCGCAAAAAATGCCTTTTCTCCAGTATTTTCGACTCATGCTTTTCCACATGCCCGAACGACTGGCGCAAAAGCACTCGCGTGAGCGCGATGGCAGGGAGTGTTTTCGGTGGAAATTGGATGCGATAAGTTGTCGCCGTGTGCTTGCGAGCTGCGATTTTATTAGGTCAACGGCAGAATCTCCGGAGAATTCCATCTATGGGTGGAGAAAGAGTGACAGTTTGCAATTCAAATCAGTGGGCGGCGCTTTAAAGTGGGAGGGACTAAGAGAAATTCTTTAATTCGTTATGCAGTCGATATATTTTTGTTTGAAAGTGTTGAATAATTTGCATAATTGTTTTGAGTCTTAAGGAATATTCCTAAATTTTATTATTTAATTATTGTAGTAATATAAAAAGTATTAAATTCGCGCTGAAAATAACATAAGCACAACTCTAAATGAAACAAGTGAGTTCTTTATGGCATTTTTATGAGATGTCATGCGTATAATCACTTAACGACCAACACATAAGAAGTTCAAGCTCTTCTGCAGATAACGCGGATGGCAAATGAGACTTTGGAGAATCTTATCTCGCTTGATACGCAAAATTATTTCAAATTACTTCGCTGCCGTGAGATGATGTTTCGCATGTATAAAATTATGATGTTCAAAATTCCAGACATTTTTCCTGTTCATTTTATCGATAATTGGCTTTGATGTTTGCGTCTTTCTGGGTTTATCAATAAAATCAAGGTTGAAGACGAAAAGGAGATAAAAAAGAGGTGTATTTTTAGAATAAATTCTTGGAATGTTGCTATGAAAAACAGTATTTGGTTAAATTCATGAAATGCTCAATTCTTGGAAGTTCTCTTAACAGTTGTTTTTTCCCGAATAACTTTATCAGCATGTATCGTATTTACTCTTGAAGTGCAATAAAGATTATGATAAATACTCTTGATTTGCACAAAAATTGTATAACGTTTCACGGATCGACTGAAATGTGTGTGCATTTCATTTGGGAGTTTGTTGGTTTGTCTCACTCTTCTGTGTGAAGTAACGAGTATAAATAAAATAATTGGGATTTACATTTAAAAATTGAATTGGTGAAACTGAACGTTTCGGAGGGTTCACAAACGCCCTGGTGAGCCGGAGTGGATGTGCTGCTGTGCTCAAATAATTAGGCTATTATAGTTCTCTCTGGGTGACGGAATGGGCAAGTGAAAGAGCTTAAAACGGATGTAAACAATATGCGAAATGGGATGAAATGGAATTCTTCAATGAAGCGAACGCGCGCGCTCGATGGTGTGTGTGTGTATCTTGAGGATCGTTTCTTTTTTTTCTTCTTCTCTATCAGCATCCACGAATGATGATTGATGGAAATTAGTGTGAAGTATGGACGAAAGAGGAAGTCAACCACCCATGAAAATATGCATGACTTTCTCGAAAATGCGCCTCTCGCGAAAGAGAGAAAGAGAGAGCGACAGAGAGGGAGAGAGAAATTGTGAGATTCATGCGGTCTTGTAAATCATTGGGATTGAAATCAGCTTGAATATCGCATGAATTCATAATGAATTCAAGTCCCACAGCTTTGCATCCAAATAAACACTCTTGTATGCAAGAATTTGATTCTGCCAAGATATCAATCGCGCGGTGTTTCTGCAAATGGCGGGAAAAGAGTGCGTTTTGGTGTCAGGGAGAGGCGAAAAAAGAGTGCACAGAAGTTGTAGAGAGGCGCACAAAAATGGGAATCCCAGGGTTTAGTTTTGAGAGATGTAAAATATTGATCAATTTTCTCCATTTTCTCAAGGAATGTCGTAATTCGCAATTCGCATATGTGTTTTGGGAAGGGAATTGCGCTCTAATCGCTTGATGAGTTTCAAAAATACTCTTTTTATCTGGCCAATTGGAGGATTGATAAAAGGCACGAGGAATAATCGATAAGATAATGAGACATTTTATCGTGAAATGATAGTAATTTTATAATTTATGATCTCTTCAAAAAGCGGGAAAAGTGTTTGTAAAAAATATGAGTTTTCGTGTTATAGACGCATGGGGTAAATTGCAACATTTCGCGCTAAATATGTTTCCATTTGGTGTTTGTTAAGCTCATCTTAATTAGATAAATTGAAACAGTTTCTCGTATCTGCAAAATCAATTTACAAGCAATCATGCTAATTTTGTAATTTGAAAATATATCAAATTACGCGAAACATTTTAATTGTGCATTTACATAGTTATGCAGTAAATCTCACCGATGTTTTCTGCTCTTTTTTTTCAGTCATGGCACAAGGCATGTTTCAAATGTCACGAATGTGGAATGACGCTGAACATGAAAACCTACAAAGGATTCAATAAATTGCCATATTGTGAAGCGTAAGTGTTACTCTCTTATTTTATCTATACTATATTACAAATTCTGAACATGCAAGAACTTTATTTAAATGGAGTTCTTCACCAAATAGTGACTCATTTTCACTTGGAAATTTATATCCACAAAACTATTACGTCATTTCAAATTCTAAACAATTCTGACTCGTCATTTGTTCTGATTTATTTTGCCATTTAATCTCTATTCTAACAACGCTGAGACATTGATGGATAATTCGCATAATGATTTTCCCGTTAATTTAAGGTTAAAAAGCAGCGACTTTATAGACTTTTTCATAATCCTTTCTAATATTTATTAAATCTGTCTCTGCTCTTCATTGTTGCCATTTCTTCAACGCCATTTGGTAATCACAAGTGATTTTTTTAATTCTCCAGATCAATTTGATGATCACATTTTAATTCACAAAAACACCCGTTAGAAATTGATTCTTGAGTGTGTTCTTGAGACCTTTTTTTTGTCATCAGCACGCATTAGGTTCAGAATCCCGCTTAATAAGCTCTCATCATGTGAATTGGGTCTTCTTTTTTTTATGCCTTCAATAATGCAGTAAAAATGGTGAGATAGAATCTGAATTGATGATCAAGTCTTCTCTTGATATTGTGCGAAAAATCCAGAAAAACGGTTACCTTGTAATTTTCGGTCAGAGGAAGTTGTTGAAGAGGAGAATTGGCTGTGAAAAAACGAAGGCAAAAAAAGAGGAATTACAGTTTGGAAAAATGTACGTGCAAGTGCTGATCAAAATCGTTGTTGTGTTTTTTCTCTGTATCAAACATTAGATCATCTAACAATCAAGGTCGCGTGTTAACAGAGAAAGCCCAAGAAGTTGTACATTTTATATAGTGTAGAAAGAAAGAGAGTGCGAAAGAAGGCGCCAAGTAATAACGTGTTTAGCTGTATTAAAGTGTATTATTGGGAGGAAAAATGGTTGGAAGTAACAAATGTTGATTATCTTCTGGGTAGTGCAAATTATGAATATGACAAATTACTTTCTAGGACACGGAGCAAAAAGAGAAAATCGTGGATTTTGTCCTTCAATCTCTTTGGCTAAAGAGAGTGATTGTTTGAGCGATTTCAATAGATTGGCTGAATAAATCCTCTGTGGAAAGCTAGACTTTCACAATTCTTGCTCGAAGTGATCCATTGACCTTAAGAAGATCAGCAATATTGCCTTTGATTGCGGCATATATTCTGAAAAAATGCCAAATACGGGCATGGTAGAAATTTATTTGATATCAAGAGCGTCTCTTTGCTGTTTGTGTGCCTTTTTCAAAGTTATCAGTTGTAAATTATAAACGTGACACTTCAAACGGCGAATGACGCAATTTATGCAGAATTTAAGAATGGTGACATGTAATTTCTCAATGACTAATATTCGTTTGGTGTGAGTTTGTGACGTTTGCGCGATGTTTTAATTAAATTAAAGCACTTATTTACTGGTTTTAAAGCAATTCAAGCCTCCTCAGTTCAAAAGTGGTTCTCAATTTCTGGACCACGATAATTTTCCAAACGCTGCAAAGATTGTTGAATCGCACAGTGATAATTGCTCACGCATTTAATGCCACTGTTGGAAAAAGTTCGATACTTAATGCAATTACTTTTACACTTTGTTGCCTTATGTATTTATTATTATTTATTACTGTAAATAATATTAGAGACAGAATGATGTCATGGTCACTTGAATCATTAAATGTGGAATAGTTGTCTGACTATATAATGCAAAGTTTTGATATTCTATTTAGAGGGAATTTTTAGTGAATTGATACAGAAAGGTTGCAATTTGAGAGTAAATCTTGCACTCTCTTGGCGTTTCCAATTGTCTTTTGCAGCATTGTTTCAGCATTAAATTATTCATTTGCCCACTCGTTATTTATTTTATTCGCAACTCACATTTGCTGAGTCAAGTATAAAGAGCATTCATTGAAACAATAATATTTGGTGTGATGATATTTTCGCAATGTTTGATGATCATATTGCAAAATAGGGAAGTGTAATGTGAATCAACTTGGACTTATTAATATCTTCTAATATGAGTAAAAAAAAAAGAAGAAAATTTCTTTGGTATTCAAAGTAGCAATATGAATGTATGCAAATCAATTTGAAAAGAAGGGTGGACAAAAAGTAATTTCGCTGTAATTTGTGGGAAAGACGACTGAATAGTAGGGAGATCGAATGGATAGGACGCGCGGTGTATTGAGTTCTTTAGCAAAATTTTCACTCGCATGAGAATTTACCTATCATGAGCACAACAATGCACAGACAAGCAAGAGAGGTAATGAAGATTAATACAGAGTGTCACCGTGTTTAATTTCCATTCGCGCGGGAGTGAATATGTTATTGTGGAAAATGTGTGTGAGAAGAGGCAGTTCAAAATGCTCTATCACGATGGATTAAGAAGTGACAACAGAGGAATGTCTTATCATGACAATGTTGGGCTACAAAGTGTGTCTCTGTGTGTGTGTGTGCGCGAAAAAAGTAGGGAAATCTTGAAATTCTCACTGCATTTCATGCGATCAGCACCGCGATCTTCGGAGAGGATCTGTATAGGCATACTGATTTTGTCGAGGTCGGCTAATCAACCCAAAAAGCGTCTCTGAGGAGAATATAAGAAAAACGCGAACAAATAGAAATTTGCATTGGAAAGCGTAAAATCTTGACTCATCATTGAGTAAACTTTGGTTATTTTGCAATTTTTCTCTGAGCAATAATGAGTTTTTTTTTCTCCCCATCTCTAAATACATTATGATGGATTTATCGTGAAATTCTGATGGAATTCTTTCATCTCTTCAGGAAAATAAATCGTTATTTTTTTTCTCTCTCTATATAACTTCACATGTTTCCGGATGTGCGTTGGTCAAAAATAGAGCTTCTCTTATTCACATAACAGTTTTCCATCTTGTGCTTTAAGTGGAATTTCAATTCTCACTTGTTGTTCTATCTTCTGAATTTGGGCATTTTTTGTCTTCGCAACAGTGAATTGGGCGATTTGCAATGTAGAGTAGAGTGTGTGTGCGTGTGTGTGTTTTTTGTCTTGTGAAGTGTAATTTTATTAAATTTGCCACACTATTAAAGGTGAATGAAGCACGAAGACAAAAATATTCCACCTTCACGTGTTTTTTTTTTAATCTGACTTCAACCACGTTATACTTGAGAAAATACTGGCAAATTCTTGCTGTTTAGCACTGCGCGAGGTGTGAAAGAAAAAAGACACACCGTCGAAACAGAGAAAGAGAGTCTTTTTTCTCTCTGTTGAAAGAAAATGAACAGAAGTTGTGGAGATACATTTTTGTAGAAATATTACAAATTGGTGAATTTCTTGCAAGATTTTGGTGAGGAGTAAAAGAAGTCATATACATTTCTGTATGACTGTTGAGGAAGATATTACAAAAAAAAATGAAGGCAGAAAGTTCAAGATCATTTCAGATGTTCTACCATTCTTACACACGAGCTTCTTCGTCGTCATATATTATGGAAATTGGGTGTGTAACAGTAAAGTGGAAGAAGAAAAAGATTGGATTTATTTATAGATTGTCTGTTACTCCTGCAAAGCTTCTTCTTTTGCATGTGTTAAAGCAAATTTACTGTGAATGTAATTTCTCTGTTTAAAAAGAAAAAGAAGGAAGAAAAAAGTGGTATTTTAACGCAATTTTCAAGAGGTCACAATTTCTCCGACATGGAAATTTATACAATTCGACCAACAGTACAAGAACAGGGCTTTTGCCCACATTTCTCTGAGCAGTTTGACTTCTGGAAAGTCAAAAAGAGAGACAAGAAGAGAGGTAGAAAGAGGGAATTTGAGAGTATGGAGAAAAAATTAAAATGACCTTCTGGAGACTTTTACGAGGAATAATAATAGTTTGTGTGTGAGACCACTTTATATATGATGTGATTTCAATACAATGGCGAGCAACAATTTAGCAATTTCCATCTCACTGACTCTCCTTCATGTTTTGTTGTGTGTATATTTTAAAATATATTGAGGAAGGAGAAGAATATACATATTGATTAAATTTTGTCGTTTGATGTCATTTTACATAACGCGAATGGTGGAAGAAAAAAAATACCAGAAAACTGGATATTTGTTTTTAGGTGAAAATGAATTGAGGAAGTTATCTAAAGAAGCGATATATTTTTTGAGAAAAACTTTCACTGTAACATTCCGCATGTTATGTTTTTTTTTTGGCGGTGGAATTTCACATCACAGATTATTTGTTTGACTGATTGGAGAAGATTTTAATTATCTTTCTTCACCATTCAATTTCAATATTGAATAAACTTCTATTCTAGAGTTTATTTATTAGTGTAAAACTGCAATAGTTTGATATTTATTCTATTCCAATTGATGTGGAATGTTTCCAAAATTTGTATTTTATTCAGAATATGTCAGCAGAATTACAAATTACCCGAAAAAACAGGAAGTTTTTATATGATTAAATCATTTATTGAATTTTTTTTGTGATTTTGGCGTATTTCCCAAATCTCATATGTTCCTAAATTAAACCAAACGGGAGAGCTTATCTGCATTTTTTTCCTCCTTTATTTTGCAGACACATACCAAAGGCAAAGGCAACGACAATAGCTGACACACCCGAATTGAAGAGAATAGCGGAAAACACAAAAATCCAATCAAATGTTCAATATCATGCGGAATTTGAGAAGTTGAAGGGAAAAGTGACACAGGTGAGAGAGAAAAAGAGATGTTGATTTTATGATGGGTTGGTGTCAATTGTTAATATGTTTGCAACATTGATTTGGGGTGAACTAATTGCGAATCTGGCATTTACTTTGCATGGCGCACAAAAGGTGGCTGATGATCCAGAAACGCTGCGAATAAAGCAAAACACGATGCACATATCGAATGTGGCGTATCATGGTGATTTAGAGAAGAAAGCAGCAATGGAGAAACAAAGAGAAGCCGCTGAAGTATCAGATACATACACAAGAGGTGAGTACGCGGCTTTTGTCTCTCTTTCTCTCTGTTCGGGTGCCCTTCTTGGAGATATTCCGGGGGGGAAGGAGAGATCAGAGAGCGAGCCAACAATGTTGGCGAGGAGCTAAGTTGCGCGCTTCCCGGCGTGTGGGCCAAATGCAAATTGCATCCTGCCTTGGCGATGGTGGGTTAAATTAGAATCAATTGTGCCTGGCCAACAGGTGAAGTGTATGGATTGCGGAAAGTGCACTGTGGCAAATTAGGCATTTTGCGCGCTGTATAATTTCTTTAGAGACACCACAACACAATAGAGATGGTGCGACGGTGGGCGGTTTTGGAGGAAAGAATGAGGAGTTGTGTTATGTGGGCGAAAACAGAAAGTGCAACAGTTGACCGTAAATTATATCTTGTGAGAAAGTCTCTTGAATACTCTGTGTGTGAAATTCATATCACACACAAATTTATTTGAGAGAGAGAGAGCGAAAAAATCCCTGAAAATGACAAGAAATTCTCGCAAATGACTTGAACAATTTACTTTCTGGAGACAGTGCGAAGAAGAGGAGGAAAAAAAAGAGTGAGAGAGAAGGAGCATGGAGAAAAACAGAGAAAACGTCCGGTTTATTGCTTACCACCTTATTTGGTTGTGTATTTTTCAACCAGCGAAATTGACACACTGCACAAGAGCTTTTGTGTTGAGCTGTGCGATGAAGTGAGGCAAAAAGCTTGTGACAATTGAGGGTATTTTATCAGCGGTTGTTTCGGTGTTGGGAGAAAATTGAGGACTAGAAGCAGGAGAGGAGCTTAAAGTTTGAAGCATATGTGAAGAGTTAATTGTGTAAAGAAGAAGGTTGATGAGTGAAGCGGAACTGAGATTTCAGCACATCTGCTTCCGTTTCACTTCTCTATTCCATTGTCAACTGTAGTTCAAATTCTCAACTTTCATTGTGTGTACTTCAACGGCAGGGGAACAAGAAATGGGTGAATGTTGACATTAATATTGCGATGTTTGATGAGTATTGTGCATAATGAAAGAGTGGCAAGTTCTCCAAAAGATTGATTACTGAAAGAAATTTGTTCAAGTTTCATGGCGAAATTTTTCTGAAGTTAGTCTTTTAATTGGCCCAATTATGCCTTGCCAAAGGTTACAGAGACTGCTAAATTGATGGCACACACAGAGCTTGATTGTTTATTAGTCGCGAGGGATGGGAAATTAGTAGTTGATTCGTGTATTTTGCATGCTATCTTCACTGTGTTTTTATTGTGCTTTATATATATATTTTGTCAAGATAACTTATTGTTTTATTTTTATTTTATCACCAAAAAAAAATCATCATGAAAATCTTCATCATCATTTGTGTTCGTCCCACGACACATTCACACCAAATGACTGTGTGTTGTTGTTGGTTGGTGTTGTTGAAATCTGTGTTGCGCGCTGACATGCGAAAAAAAACGCCGATGCAGACAACAATGATTCAGAGTACTTCTCTGAGCAATTGGCCGCTGAATCACTGTCACAGTATCAGGCACCGGCGAAGCAGCCGCCGCCGCCGCAAGCACATCACCAAGCGAATCATCATCACAATCAGTCACAGCCATCGCATGTGAGCTATCAGCAGGCGCAGGGCAAGACGGCACCGCAGTATGGGGCTCCGCCGGCGCCCCAATATACCAATAATTCTTCAGTCTCTGCAGTTCCCGCTGGGCAGCAGCTGCAGCTGCAGCAGCAGCAGCCGTACGGCCAGCAGCCTGGCTACAACAATCGCACCAATGTCGTGCACTCATCGTCCCATCCTTCCGGTGGCCTCATTCATGCTCATCAGCAACAGCAGCAGATCAACCAAAAATACTATGATCAGTATGAGAACTATGCGCGGCCGGCGTCGTACAGCAACAACAACCAGAGCGCCGGCTACAATTCGCAGATGGTGGCCGGGTATGGGAACTCGTATCATCATCCGCCGGCACAGCACACGCCCGCGTACACGCAGAATGCATACGCACAGAACAATCACTACAGCCAAATGGGTGGTGGCTTCAATAATGCCACAGCGGCCGGCATTGGCAAGATCGCGGACTATGATCCGCTGACGGATGGACCGAGAAATGTCCCAAATACACAGAGACCCAGTTCGACACTCATTTATAGTTCTGATCGCAATTCTGGTGAGTTTTTGCCTCTCATTTCACCATCAACACCATCATTTTGGCCCTTTAGGTTGTTTCCTCATACAATTTTACTGCTTTTATTGTCACACACACTCTCTCTCTATGTCCAATTTATCAGTTTATTAACCAGCATTTGTCACTATTTACTAACTCCAGTGGAAGTGTTGAGGGGTTCTTTGGCCTGTTTATTTGAGTATTATTGTGTACAACCCACTGATTGGCGTATGGTAAGAAAGTGAAAACTGTATATTTAAATTTTTCCTCTTCTCTATAGTTGTGGCTAAGATGATAAACACTTTAGGGAACCTCTGAGAATGTATACTAAATTTGATATTTCCTCAAATGCTAGAAGTACAAGAATCTACTAAACGTTGGATAAAAGAATAATCTTTGAGTTAATGCTTATTCTTAGGAAGAGCTTTAAATCTTTTCACGACAGTGAATTTTCCATTCCATGAAATATTGATTACTGACTAGAAAACACGCAATAGAGAGTCGGTTTTAATGAAAATTAACAAGAATGTCTGTAGAAAGTTAGTAGAATTGATAATTCTAAACTCTTCTTAGAATTGAAGCTTCTCTTCTGATATGAGAATGTATTAACAGGATGAATATTTTCCTCTCAAGCGAGATTAAATGCTAATCTTCTGCTGACTTCTTGCGTATTACAGTGAATTCGACCCAAGGAAGGCGAATTGGCTCCGTGGCTGACATGGATCCGGCGAACGGCGTGTTCGGAGCGGCTGTCGAGCAGCAGCAGAATCACATGTATCAGCAGCAGCAGCAGCACAACCAAATGAGGCATTCGCAGGCGCAGCAGCAGCCACAGAGGGCCGGCAAGATGGTGAGAAGATCAATTTCGCCTGATGCAGGCAGATTTGACTGTTCGGTGTCCTCTTTCTCTTTGGTCCAGCGAGTGTTCCGCGCGCTGTACGACTACGAGGCCCAAGACACGGACGAGGTGAGCTTCGCGGAGGGCGATGTGATATTCGAGGTGGACTCGATTGACGCTGGCTGGATGACGGGCAGAGTTGAGCGCACAGGAAAGGTGGGAATGCTGCCGGCGAACTATGTCGAGTTGGCGACCATTTAAGATGGGGGCGAAGGGAAAGCAATCACGTTGGATAAAGAGAGAGAGTCTGTAGAGCAGCTTATTCCTTTTACTTACTCGCTTGATTTTGATTGAGTTAGAAATCTTATACATTCAAGGGTGGGCGTTTTTTCTTTGTATTTGAGATGGTCTTCGATGAATTCTTAATGGTTCTCTAAACAAAAAAGATGTTGCTGAAAAGTGAATTTCTCTAACATTCTTTTTTAAATAATAATAATAATATTTCAACGAATATTCTTTGCACGAAAGAAGCTCTAATAAATTCCAGTTTATTCCTTTTATCTTTTTGTAACTGTATGAAGTGGACAATGAATGAAATGAATAGAAAAGAACTGATTTTGAAAAATTGTGCCTTTAGCTGAATTGGCAATCACTTTTTTTTTCTAAGAAGAGCTAAAAGAAGAAATAAAAAATTGAAACAGTGCTGCAATTATTTATAGTAAGTTTGAATGGGTGGAAAACAAAACATCCCAATTTCGTCAATTGACTAAAGAGAATAAGTTCTTATCAAATCAACTGATGCTACATTCCATCAGCATTTACAGTAAACTTTTACACGAGCCATAAAGAAGAGAGAAATTAACAGCAGCTTTCTTCACGTCGTTCATTCTTTTCTCTCTGGAATCTTCTAATATATATACTTAAATAATTATGAGAAAGTATAATACAAAAAAAATATTGTAGATATTTTTGTCACACACTTGGAAGATACGTTATTATTTTAATTTTATATGCAGAAAAACGATGATTATACTTTGATTTTTCTCTGAAGAAAAGTAAGGCAACTTGAAATTATACACAGAAACTAATATCTAGCATTTAGTATATCATAATTTATACAAATTATTTTAATAAAAAAAAAACTTATCTATTGAGCATTTTGTCTTGTTCAGTCAAACATTTAACTATATTAAAGAATACATTGTACAGATTGAGTAATGAATTGTCTTTTCTAACAAGATATTGTTCTCCTAAAGTGACAAATGTAATTCTGGAAAGTAATCATGATAATAAAAATATGTACATGTAAAAGTTTGTGGTTTTTCCTACATTTGAATTTCGTCTCTTATTTTAAGATTCTCGTTTGAAGATTTCTCGAATGGGTAGTTGCTGTGTCGCTCACTGCAGCGCTGCCAGTCAGTAAGTGGATAATTTGTTTTTGGTCGACACGTAATCTGCCGCAATGGAAGGGAGTTTACTGGTAATTATCCTTATTTCAACCTAGCCATTCCTAGTGATAATCCTTCTGTGGCATCTCTTTCCTCTGACCATGCTGTAGTCCTCGCAATCGCTTAATGCATTTCCGCATAAACACGCAAACAAGCGTTCTAACCTCACTGTGTTGTTTTGATTTTGCCAGGATCCAACTCTGTTTACCGTGAAGGGAATGTGCATCCTGGACAACGACGGGAATCGCATCCTGGCCAAGTACTATGACAAGAATGTCTTCCCCACCGTGAAGGAGCAGAAGGCGTACGAGCGCAATCTGTTCAACAAGACCCATCGAGCCAACGCGGAAATCATCATGCTGGACGGATTGACGTGTGTGTACAAGAGCAATGTTGATCTCTTCTTCTACGTGATGGGCAGCACGCACGAGAACGAGCTCATCCTCATGTCGGTGCTCAATTGCCTCTTCGACTCCGTCAGCATGATCCTGAAGAAGAACGTGGAGAAGCGCACAGTGCTGGAGAATCTGGACATTGTCATGCTGGCCTTCGATGAGATTTGCGACGGAGGGTGAGTTTAGCAATGCTCTCCTGCGTGCACAGGATCCTCTTGCTCACTTGACACTCACCCACAGGATCATCCTGGATGCTGACCCGTCATCGGTGGTGAAGAGAGTGGATCTGCGCAATGACGACATTCCAATTGGGGAGCAAACAGTTGCTCAGGTAACTAATGCAATTCACGGGCTGTTTTGGTAGGGACAGAAAGAGAGCCGAAAGAATCTCGTTATATAGAACATTCTCATGTAGTCACAAAAGTGCCACACAAAAAGAAGAAGAAAAGTATGAATTATTATTTTTTTAGGCAAAGTATTATACATAAAAAGGCGATTGATTGAGAGTAATGCATTTTCTCTTCCTTTAGGTCTTTCAGTCTGCTAGGGAACAGCTGAAGTGGTCGTTACTTAAGTAGATAACCCATCCTATCCCCCAAAGCATGTCTCTTCTACAATAAATTAATCTCCACAATGTATTTCATATTGCAATATATTTTCAATTGAAGCATTTTAATCCGCGCCACTGTCGATTTTATAGTGCAAAATTAGAGTCAAGAAAAATGTGAATTTTCTGCAATTTTATCACGCATGTTGTGAAGAAAGACGTGCAGTGCGGAAAATTGGCGGTAAGTTGAAGATTTCCTCCATTTTCATACAGAATATTAACATATTCAGTGATAAATATTTACTTTACGTGCTTAAATCTATCGGAACTCCGTTGTGAATCATGATCGGAACACTTTCTTCAACCTCTGGCAATAAATCTTCAAGATATCTTGCGCACGATTGCATATCTTCCTAATTGACGCTGATCCGCAGCGAAAAAGCGCTGACAATCGCTTTAATTAGGTAATTGACTTACTTCATCGGAAATGTTTCCACCGCTCTTCCCTGTGATAGCATTTATATTTAGTATGCGCCAATCGGCCGAAATTCTGATAACGCACTCTCTGTGTAAGCTCGCGCCTCTCGAGCGCAGATCGCAAGACTTTCCTAATCGATTTCCTTCCGTTGCTTCCGTCAATGAACATTTTGGAACATTGGAAAGTGTAGTTTATTTTTGGACACACAGATCAACATCGATGGCTCTTGTATCGCTTCAACGGCGTGAGATTGCTCTATCTGAATACGTGTTGAAGTGCGAGGCAATAAAACTCTTCATTGTACTCTAATTTGTAGTTTGATTTACCTTTTCTCTATGGCTTTGTAATCGTGAATTTATGATTCCGATGGGGAAATAGTATCGGGTAAATAGAACGCAATATTTAACTATAAATTGATCACTTAATAGAGGAAATTATCATTGAATGACACGATTAAAGCGTCAAGTTGGAAGTTAAAGGACAAATTTTGTCTCAGAAAGACTGCAATTTCTGGAATTTCAGCGACATTCGATGAAGATTTCGCGGATTTTCGGGTCAGAATGGGAAATTTACAATCGCAAACACACGTGAGATGCGTGGAAATGCAATGTGATAGTGTTTCAATAAGCAATTGATTTGATTGTGCAATTTTATGGAGGGTTTATTAACTGATCACACTTAATAAATTACAGGCAACTTTGAGCACAATTCTCGGGTTTTCCTGGACAGGAAAAGTGGATTCCAAAGTGCCAGTGTTCTTGCGCTGTAACGAAAATCTCCGCATCCTTTTATTATATCACAAACCGGCACTTAATCTGTGAATTTGAATACTTATTCAAATGATCTTGATAATTCTGATTGAATACCAAACACAAGGAGTAGCAGAAAAATTGCATCTGCAGAAACATTTCGATATTTTCCCTTCGTTGTGACTGAAGATGCATTCCAAACGGTGAACTTCGAGGTTTAACGTTTGGAGTCTAATCTTATCTAATCACTCCAATTGTCAATTGGCCGATCGACGCGTGAGTGCGACAGAGACACTGGGCAGAGTCAGTTGATTGCTGAAGTGCCTCTTGGGACCACATTCGCCCGCGCAATACTTCAGTGGCCAGCCAGAGCGTGTGAAGGACAGTCTGAGCGCCGGAACCTTCGCGAGCAGTCGCGCGCATCCTTGGACAGTTTCTGGACGGCGCACACGAGTTCCTCTGCAATTGCCGCAGCTTCTCAGCAGGACTCTCTTGCCTGGAGGTGAGTGAAGTGCAATCACGCGGTATTCTGCGCGCCCAAGACTTGATCTTGTACTGCGTGTTATCATACAAAGCGCAAAGGAATGTTGTTCAGACTTTTATCATTGCCACCTGAATGACACTTTTTATCATTGCGAGTTTCTTTGAGAAAAATTTCCACGAAATTGTGAAATTTATAAGAGAAGGTAAAATCGAATTTCAAGTGTTTCTCTTTTATTTTCTTCTTTCTACCCAAAAGTGAGATCCTGCATGATTATCAATCATTGAGATATTGTAGAATTTCTGGGAATATCTTAATCTCTCTGGGAGTCGCGGTTTTTTTTCATGCGGTGAGAAGTTGGCGATAAGGATCGCTTCAATGCTGGGCTGCATGTTTCCACGACCCGCCGACATGACCAAGACCACGTTCAACAAGAAAGAACTCAAGTCCTTCACGAAGAGCTTCGAGAAGGCCATCAAGATCCTGCTGCTGGGCACCGGCGAGTCCGGCAAGTCCACGATCATCAACCAGATGAAGATTCTGCACATCAACAAGTTCACGGAGGCCGAGCGACTGGAGCGCGTGCCCGTGATCCGGCAGAATCTGCACGAGTCACTGCACGAGATCGTGGCGAATGTGGAGCGCCTCGGGCTGGCGTTCGACTGTCCGGCCAACCTGCGGAGCGCCCAATTCGTGCTGACGCTCGGCAAGTCTCTGCCCGAGGGCTTCGAGCCGGTGAGTCTAATCGCGTACGCGTGTCTGACAGAGGTGATTAGCCGCGTGTCTCTCGTCTCTTCCAGGAAGACGCTTATGTGGAGCACATCGAAAATCTGTGGTACGATCGCGGCGTTCAAGAGTGCTTTCGCCGCTCCAACGAGTACCAGCTGAACGATAGTGCGAAGTAGTAAGTCTGATAGTGCCTTGTTTTCCCTCTTCACACGCTTATCTCACGCCGCCCCCTGTCTTCCCGCCCCGCAGCTTTATCGACCGTGTGCAGATTGTCTCCAAGGCAGACTACATCCCGACCACCGATGACATTCTCCACAGTCGGAAAATCACAACAACCATCCATGAGATTAAGTTCAACGTGAAGGTACGAAAGCCATTGTTTTGGTAGCCAATCCTCCACGCAGATTAGCGTCCTCTTCAGCCAAAGCCCCAAGGCTTACAGTTCCCGGCAATATAATTAATTAGTTCATTTGCGGCTTACGGCAGGATTACGAGGATTTTCTAAATTGAGCAGAACAAACAAAGCCAGCCAGAGAGCGTGCTTCTACTTACTATTATTATTCAACTGAAAAATCGCGCAATTAATCCTTGTCTTGCCTGAATCATTGCCAGCCAAGTTGCGAGCTTCAGGACAATGACTCAACGCTCCAAGTATTACACTATTTCATATCGTATTGAGCGAAAACTTTCCTTAAACACTCTGGATTTGTTCAAGAAGTTGAAGCTGACAAACTACAATATGTTATTCTTAATCTGAAGATTCAGTGAAATTTTGTCACTTAAATCTATCTTTTGATCTCCTTATCTTCCAAATTCACAATTATAACCCAATAAAAACTCAATGACTAAACGAAAAATGAGATAAAATAAGTAGAATATATCGAAATAAACACGATTAAAGCATAAATTCAAGATTTGTGGAATAATTTTAGCGCGAAACTTCTATTTATCATCAGTTTTCTTGTTATACTATCTTCGCGTGAGGTGAAATCACGTCATAATCAAATAATGCTGTCGTGTAAACTCACCTTTTGGCGGTGATAATAACCTGGGAAAACCTGGAAAAGCGCTAGCGATCGCAACATTCGATATGTCGCTGTAATTTGGCTCAAATTCCTCAATCATGTTGAAATATTTACTGACACAACAATCGTGATTCACCTTTGATTTCTGGACTTTTAACCCAATAACTTACTTTAAAAAAAAAGTAGTGAAAATTAATCGATATTTGCTCTCAAGTCGATGACTTCAAACAATTTTCTTGTTTCGTGCAATCTTTCACCTGAATCTGATTGAATTTTGCCACAAAAGAGGTTCTGAAATGAGTCAAAGCGGTCAAAGCTGGTGTTTGAAAAAAGCGCCGCGCCGTAATTTTGCAACACTCGTATTGCTCGGAATTAATAAAGAAGCACTTCATTATTATTAATTCGCCCCATTATCAGTCCATTTAGCCCGGAAATTGTCGGCTCCCCGCGACTTTGGGGCACGTGTGCGCGATAAAGCCGTCAATCCTGCGTTGGTGAGCCTCAGTTGAGTGTTTATTGTTGCGATTGTTGCAGATACCGAAGAACATGGGCGGCGGCTTGCAGGAGTTCCGCATGATCGACGTGGGTGGCCAGCGAGATCAGCGCAACAAGTGGATGTACGTGTTCGACGGTATCGACGCGGTGCTCTTCCTCATCTCGTGCGGCGACTTTGACCAGACGCTGCGCGAGGATCCGCAGCAGAATCGCCTCAGCGAAGCGCTGAAGCTCTTCCGCGGCGTCTGGCACAATCGCTTCCTCGTATCCGTGGGCATTATCTGCTTCATGAACAAGCAGGATATCATGGAGAGGAAGATCATGGAGGGCAAGTCCATTGGACAGTACTTCCCGGACTACAACAGCTTCAGGGTGTCGGCAAAGGATGGCAGCATGTTTGACGAGTGCAACAAGACGCGATGCTTCATTCGACACAAACTGCTGGTGAGACAAAATCCTTCTTTGGCACTTTTTGTGGGTGATTTAAAGCGCTTTTAATGATGAATTTTGTTGTGTTTCCCCCGCAGGAAATCACCAGCGAAACTCCTCGTCCGATCATGAACAAGGAGTGCGTGAGGAAAGAGTGCTATTTCCACTTCACCATCGCCACAGACACCAACAACATCCGCAAAGTCTTCTACGACGTCCACAGTATGATTCTCAACGACATTCTATCTCGCATCGGATTGCTTTAGTTATATTCTGCAGTGACTATCATCATTGTGCACTTGATAATATAGGCCATAAGATACATTAACTGTGATTAAAGTCCCTCAGGGAGAGAGTTTTAGGAAGCAAAGATGGTCTTTTGATCGCCCGACATTAATTCTTGCGCATTTAGTGCTCAATAACCATAAAATTCGATCCACTTTTCACATTGATTCAGAAGCAAAGTCTTGTTTCTAGCTTTTCCTGATAGTTTTTCTCTTTATTAATTCTCTTCATTTTTCTTCATTTTTGTCTCTGTGATATTTTTTTTTCTTCTTCTCAACCTTATACAATTGTTTTTCTTTTTATTTTTGGTAATGTGTTTAACACAAGAATAAAATTCAGTGAATTCTTGAACGAAATTTGTTTCGAGAATTTGCCATTCTAATACAATTTTCACATTCCAAAATAGAGATAATTCGGTATATGTTTTCCATCCTTTTGTTTTTCTTGTTACATTTCAAAGAAAAGAGACGACAAACTTATTTACAATTTGTGAAAAAACCACAGGTTTCTTTTCACGAGGGACGAAAATCTACACTCTACATTGACAGAAACTATAGAGTTTGAATGCGCTTCTTCTTCTTGCTCACAATTCTATATTGATAAATAGAAATTCATTTTTTTTTCTTTTCAAAAACCCTTCGAGACTAGCTTGCCAAAAAAAGATGCCATTAATTGCATTTACAAATTGATAAAGAGGAGGAGCTCAAAGAAGTCTCGCAGTGTTAAATGCCTGTCAATTACGTTCCATTAAAAAAAACGATTCGAACGTCGAATCGGAGACAAAATAATAATAATCATGATAAGGATGATCTCTCCATTAGGATACACGAGGAATTAACGAGTTAATTCACACTCACAATTACGGGAAGGAAGTCAATTCACGCACAAAATAGGACATTCACTCGGCGGACATGCGCTGCACTCTGCATCTCTGTCAGTTCTCCTCGCCGTCGGCATTCTTGGCCGTCTCCGTGGTCGCGGCCGCGGGTTGGCCGGCAGATGTGCTCTGCGCGGCCTCACTGGGCGCCGCCTCGGGCTGCGCCGGCGCCTCCACGGGCTGCCGGAACACTTCCAGCACCTCGAAGTGCGTGAAGAGGTTCGTGACGCCCGAGTCGAAGTGCAGCACGCGCGTCAGCGGCGCCCCCAGGCGCTTCAGCAGATCCGTGAAGGCCTTCTCGTCGCGCCGGATCCACGGCCGTCGCTCGTCCAGCACCTGATACGGCGTCACGTGCACGTGGAGATTGATGTTGAGGCGCGTGAGCGTCTCCAGGAGGCTCCGCGACGTCAGCCACGTGTTCTTGGGCGCGCTGTGGCCGCCGTCCAGCCAGTACATGTCGCGGATGCGCGACACCAGCCTCATCATGCTGCTGTCGTCGGGCGTGAGTGTCTTCAGGTAGTGGAACTCGTAGATGAACTGATTCAGCACCACGCTACCCTTGCTGAATGCGATCAGCGTGAGTGTCGCCTTGTCCAGATTCAATCCGTCGCGCCACCACAGCAAATCCGCCGCATTGGGAGCGCCTACTGAGCCCACGGAGTCCTCAGTGGCCTGGAATCAATATTAATGTGAATCACGAGGCAGAGAACTTGTAGGTCAAGGACTCACTTGCAGCAGATCGAGAGACAAATCCGTCGGCAATCGAGGAATTGAATTGCATGTGTTGTCTTTGCAGGTGAAGCCAATGCCGCTGTCTGACTCAACGTTCGTGTCCTGCACCTGAAGAATGTCAATGTCCATGTCCTGCCCAGTGTCCTGCGCCGCTGCATTCGACGTCACCGTTGCACTCGTCGCCGTGGCGCTCGTCGCTGTACTCGAAGCGGCGGCAGAATTCGCGCACGCCGTAATTTGACTGATCAGTTCATTCTCCGGAATCGCCCGGATCCTCACTGGGATGTTCTGCAGGAGTCTGCAAAGCAAACAGAGTCTCAGAAAGTGCCACAAGGCGATCACAAGTCACTTCTCCTTACTTCTCCAGATGTTGCAGCGCGTGATTCATGGGCGTGTGATCGGGAATGCCGGCATTGCAGCCCCTCACGAAGTTGTCATAACAGCTGAATGTCTTGAATTCCATCCTGAAAAACGGCAAAACAACTCTATAATCATCACAGTGCATCCAGTCATGTCTATTCATCAGCCAACCTGACGGCCTTTATTATCACAATGTGAGACTTTGGGAAGTTATTCCTCAGCATCAGCGCCGTGTTCTCCAGATTATACTTAATGTAGGCCTTGCTGTCGCGATGGATTTGCATATTCTCCGGAAAATCCTGCAAAATTGTGACAAATTAGTGTCGAAAATGTGAGAATTTCCAACTCATTTGAGCGCACATCAACACCCCAAATTCCCCTGCAAAAGCGCTCGAGAGAGCACACACAAACAAACAAATCCCCTTAATATGCATCGCAATGTTTATCCAACATGAATTGTAATTGAGAATAAATTCTGGGAAAGACTTTTTTTCTCCCATCTTCACGTGCTTTTGATCTCTCTCTCTCTCTGCTCCTCTGTGTTCTTGTGTCAAGAGATCGTCTGAGAGATTGGAAAACATAAAAATTTCACAATCGCGAAGAATGAATCAATTTCAAAGGTCTAAAATTAGATTCTCAGGCATTTTATACGGAATTTTCATCGAGATCTTCACGTCAATTTTTACCTGAATGTCACCGCCAAAGTACACGACGGCCGTGTTCTCCGGCTCCTCTGAGTCTCCCTCGCCGGGCTTCTGCAGCGGCGGACAGTAGATCACGTCATTCACGCGCCCCTCGAAGCCACTCACGCCCGTGAGACGCACGGGTCCGGCGGCACTTCCGCCGAAGCGCCCCGGATTGCTGCCGCCCAGCATTCTGCGCCGTTTGCGCTGCGCTTCCTCAAGCAAGTCTCGTCGCCTGCCCCCTTTCCGCTCCCGCCGCCGGCCTCTGGTGAGGGTGTGAATATTGCGCGAGAGTGCCTGCAAAGACGGAAGAGAGTTCGTGAGAATCTTCTGGCGATTCCTCTTGCCAAGATCATTTGCAGAGAAGCCAAAATTCAATTAATATGCGTTAAGATTCGGTTAAAATGTGTGCGAGAATTTATAAATCTATAGCTTAATTAATTTTCCTGTGTTTCGGGGGAAATATTTTAGATTTTATTAGTCCTAGAAATATTTCCACAGATGAAAATACCCCTTTAAAAGACACTTTTCGAACAGACAAACATTAAAAGCATACATTTAGTAACTAATATTGATGATTCTAAGCTTCCAAGAAACTCTTCAATAATTTCTTCATTCTAATTTCTCATCCCTTCCGCCACTTCCTCACTGTATCCACTGAATCCACTGAATCAACGATGGTTACAATAACAATAAACCCAGAAGGTCTCTAGGTTTTCCACCGCAAAACTACAGCACATGCGAATGTATTCGAGTGGCTGTTAGTGAATTATATGTGAAAACTTTATGAGATATTTTACATGATTTTCCATACTAAAAATAGCTTCTCGTTGAATATTTTCCTGTCTCTCACTCGCCATTTATCCCGCCAAGTCACTCACAAATTTCTGACCCACTTAAGCGTCTTTTCTCAGTCTCCATTCAACATCATTAAATAAAAACACATTGCGATATAATTATAAATCTAAAATGGAATTCACGCGATCATCTTTCCGCCATCGGCGCCTTGCGCTCCTACTCAAAGTAGAAGTCCTCAGAGTCCTTATCACTGTCACCACAGCACTTGGCGAACCGCAGCCGCACGTCCTCCATGCACAGTCGCAGATCCTCCTTCATCTCCTTCATCTTCACGCGCACCTCCTCGCGCATGAGGTTGTACGCCATGGCCACCAGGCCCATGCCGAAGAGCATGTACACGAAGTTGATGGCCAGCTTCGTCTGCTTGCCACTCTGCGAGTCCAGGATGTTGGCGCCCGGCACGAAGTCGCCGATGCCGATCTTGCACAGACTCGTGACGCAGAAGTACGCCGAGTCCAGGTAGTCCCACTTCTCCCACTCGGCGAACATGATCGTTCCCGTGGCCACGTAGACGATGATGACCCACAGGCAGGCCGTCGACGGCACGATGACCTTCTTCGGCAGCCCGGACTCCGGATCCACGGAGCCTTCGGCGCCGCCCTCGTGGCTGCACTCGTGGAACCAGCGGTAGAGCCACTTGAAGCACTGCGCCAGCACCTTGCCCATGCTCATGAAGTACAGGATGTACAGCGGGATGCCGAACGTGGCGTAGATCACGGTCGTGCCCTTACCCCACTGCGTGCGCGGCACCATATTTCCGTACCCGATCATCGTGAACACCGACAGACAGAACATCAGCGCCGCCGGGAAGGTCCACACCTCATCCGGCGTCCTGCCGTCGTAGCCTTTGCGCACCAGCTTCGCGAAGTCCGTCTGGAAGCGCGTCAACACCTCGTCGGTCTCGCGGCGCCACACAGAGTTGTTGAACAAATTGTGCTGCTCCACGATCATCCACAGATCCTGCGCGCAGTTGCGCCGCAGTCCCATTGCCAGCTCCAGCTGTGGATTCACCTCCTGCGTCTCGATGGACATGAACGCGGCCGCGCCCACGAGAGCATAGCCGACAATCAGCGCCCCAACGCCCACCTGCGTGCACATGAAAGCCACGAACTTGCGGCAGCAGTCCTTGACGCGCTCACGAGGATCACTGCCGGCCGTGGACGACGAGCCGCGGCTCCGCACCGACGCTCTCTGACGCATCTCGCGCGATTCGACCGTCCGCACGAGAAATCTCAAGAAAACTGATCGCCGCTTTTCCACGATCACTCTACCGCCGAGTGCGCAGAGGAAAATCCGCACTATTGCCAAAAGTTCAGCGGTATTTAGCTGATGTCTTTAGAGAATCTTGGAAGCTCAGAGATTTCTCAGAATTATATAAATTCATCTAAATATTCTTTTGAAGTTTCATTTTGTTTTTGGCTCAATTTACTATTCTAAGATGCGATGTCTTAAGTCCCGCCCATTTGAAAGCCACGCCCCGATTAGCGTTTTGCCCTACTTTTTCTCAAGCTTGTTGAAGGAAAAATACCATGAACTGAAATATTTTCGACTGTAAAGATTATTCAGGAGGTCAAACACTATCTGAATGCCAAGTGTGATAAAGCGTTAGAGACTTGAAGATTTCTCCCCGCAATTCTTTAGCAGAATCTTCAGCAAAGTAGGAGAACGAAAGAGAGAAGTTGTTCAGCGTGACCCAAAAGATGCAAATTCACAGAATATCATGAGATTTTCTTCATGACGCACTAACTCTTCTCTCTCGTTCACCCACGCTTTCGCTCTCTTTCGCTCGCAGTCTCACAAAAGCGGCGTTTCTCCGAACACGAGAGCGAGAGCGAGAGAGAGAGAGAGAAGTCGCGTTCGGGAAGGATTTGGTGAGAGCTTTTCAGCTCGAGATTTTAGGCTCTATATTTAGCCCATCTGCGGGATGGCGGGCGAGGAAGCAGAGCCACTTCCAGACCTACACAATCGGCCGTCCTCTCGGCCCAGAAGTCGCCCAAATGAGACGATTTCTCTTGCTCTCTCGCTTTTTCTCCGCCGTATTGTTTGTTTACATTCACAGAGTCTCTGAAAGCCGTCGAGGGCGATTCCGGTGACTTCCCGGGCACTCACCTGGCGACTCGTCTCGAAGGGGCTTCAGCTGTCTCTCCTCGGCCGCGCAGGAGGATCAATAAGATGCCATAAATTAACCCCCCTCTCAGATTCCTCCTTTTCCACTCGCACGGCTTTCTTTTTGGAGGTTAAGACGCCGTCAATTATCATCCACTTTTCCACCCACTTTCCGCACTCCACGTGCACCTTATCGCACTGGAATCCACTCCCGCGCCACTCGTGCTGTGCAATCTACACACTGACTCACCTCGCGGTGGTTTTTCACTGGATCTTCTGGGGGATTTTGTGATTTCCGAGGGAGGAAATTTTCCAAAACACGACTTTCTTCCACCTTCGCCGAGTGACAACCGCCGCTGCCAGCGCCACGGCGTACAAGAGAAACAGAAATGAGACGTTTCAAACTTTCCGTTTTATTTCACGCACAATTTCCAATAAATACCAATAAATTTAATTGAATATACATCTTTTGGCATTAATTTTAGTGTCTATGCATTTTATTGAATCATTTCACCGCGATTACAGCTTGTGAATTGCAGTTGTGCGCGCAAAAATCGTTGAAATAGTGTTTCATTGCGCGGTGAAACATTTCTTTCCAAGATTTCACGCCCTAACTTGATGAAACATCAACACACAGCCACCCACATTATCGCACACTCGTCGTGGGCAACTTCTATTGGGCTTCACAGACTGAAATCACTCCTGTCCGGCTAGTCGTTGAGTGCTGGTGTTCCTCTGTGATCTGTGCAGTATTCCCAAGCAATAGTCTCAGGCTACGAACATCGCCATGAAGTGCTTTCTGCTCGTCTGCTTGGCTCTCGTGGGCCTCGTGGCCGCCGAGAAGACCGCCAATGGCCCCACAGTGACCGATCAGGTGCGTGCTGCTCCCCCCGAAGTCGCCCCATTGTCCGCCCATATCAGTGAGCGCATCTCTTTGTTACGTGGCGCTCCGTGAGTTGACAAAGAGGCGCACTGAAGTGAGGTTACGTCCCGAAACCGGTTCCCTGACGCTTTTCCGGGCTTTCTTCCGCGCACACGGGATCAATGCTCTCTCTTTTCTCTCTGCAGGTGTACTTCGACATGAAGATTGGCAATGAGGACGTGGGACGCATCGTGATCGGCCTCTTCGGAGGCTCCGTACCCAAGACTGTGCGTAATTTCAAGGAATTGGCGGAGAAGGGCGAAGGCGACGGGTAATTTGTGCATAATTCTCACGATCTGCGCCGCAAGATCTCTAAACAAGAGTCTCTATTTGAACAGCTACAAAGGCAGCAAATTCCACCGTGTGATTCGCGACTTCATGATCCAGGGAGGCGACTTTACGCGAGGCGATGGAACTGGAGGTAAATATTGCCTGTGAAATTAGCCATCGCACGCCAATTGATCAATTTGTGGGTGAGAAAAGTGCTTATCACTTGTGCGAGACTCCTCTTAAATCTCTCCCACACGTCTAAGTGCCTAATCACGCATTTCCTGTGTCACGAGACATCATTTCCGCCCGCAGAATCACGAAATCTGCTGCTCAAAATTGGAGTCTGGCCTTAAATCCACACAAGAGTGTGTTAAATTCTGTGATGAAACCCGCTAAATTGATGATAGTGATGTGATAAGAAGGCGGTGCTTCCTTATGGGCGGAGCTTAGAACTTAGATGTTTTTCAAATGTTACTTGTAATTGCATTTCGAAGACTTTCTTCGGTTCAAAATTTGATTGACTCTAAAGCTACACGCGATTCAAATTAGATGAAAAGAGTCTTTTCCTTATCATTATTCACTTTGGAGTAATGGAGAGATAAGCAATCAACACGCCAATTTCAGTGAGAAAGCAAAATATCAAAGCCACAATCTCTGCTAAATGTTTGTTTTTTCTTCCCAAATATCATGCGATATATTGAACATTTTCCGTCACTTTGCAGGTCGTTCGATTTACGGCGATCGCTTTGAGGATGAGAACTTCAAGCTGAAGCATTATGGCGCCGGATGGCTGAGCATGGCGAACGCCGGCAAGGACACGAACGGCTCGCAGTTCTTCATCACCACGAAGAAGACGCCGTGGCTCGACGGACGCCACGTGGTGTTCGGCAAGGTGGTCAAGGGCATGGATGTGGTGAGGAAGATCGAGAGCACCAAGACTGACGGACGCGACAAGCCCGAGAAGGACGTCGTGATCGCCGATTGCGGCTCGATTCCAATGACTGCCGAGGAGCAGTTCGCCGTGGAGAAGAGCGACGCCACGGAATAGGCTGTCCGCCGCGACTAGAGGAGGTAGGAACTACAGATTCACTTCAGGTTCAACATTTTCACGAAAAGTCCGAAGAGATTTATGTCTCTTTTTTTGTAATAAACGATGATTGAGAAGGAAAAAAGTCTTGTTTTTTTGACTATTTCTATAATAATTACTTTTCTCACATTTTATTGTTTCATAATTCTCTTTTCAAACAATCCTTAACTTCTGGTTCCATTTTTTTTCTTCTTTAAATTTCGATGAGTTTCTCATACAAATAAAATATTGCTATTTTAGTGTTCTTTATACTGAATAACTTTGGTTTCCTCCATTTGGTTGTTTTTCTCTCTTTTCTGCCTATTTACAAAAGTATATATTGAAGAATTAGATATTTTTCTCTGATTTGTACTTAAAATACGTTCATTTTTTTCAATTAATGAAGATTTAATTAACACTTCAGCGTTAAATGAGTTTTTTTCTTTCTTTGTCAAGCACTTTTTATGCCTATTTAATATCCTTTTAGAGATGTTTTTTTTTACTAATGTTTGATAAATCGCCGTGAAATTGTAAATAAATTTGTCGTCATCGAAAGGGGGAAAAAACATAGAAAAAAGTAATTACTCTATTTAGTATAAAATATTTACAATATTCAATAATCAACTTGGCAGACTTCAAATGCGATGTGACTTCAATGTCGTTCTAATAATTTGATTTCTCTTCATCACCTTTAAACTATTCCTTCCAATATTTTCTATATTTCATTTCCTAAGTATTTTCTAAGTATTTATCTATGAAATTAAAGAAAAAAAAGTATCTCATGATGAAAAATATCGACGAATTTGAATTATCTAATGTTTATAGTAATAAATTTCCTTTTATTAATATACTTTCATGGATATTAACTTTCTTACCTTGTAAATACTCGTAGGCCTTTTATTATTAATTCTTTTCAATAGTTTTTTTATCATGTTTTTCTAGCAATCTTTTTCAATATATATATTTTAAGTAAAATGTTAACAATTCTTTAAGTTTTTTTTTTACAATTATTCCTTCATTTCTATTATGTTCTATTTTTCTTTGTCATCGTAATAATATTGTCAAAATTCGCTTTACATCCTTTGAATTCCTCACTGAAATGTTGGAAAGGAAAATCATGAAGGTTTTCCATCTGCAATCATGATTTATAGTTCCTTTCTCTGCGTGGTTATTCCAGGCAAATATTTTGTGTGCTCTTCTAAGACTGCAAATTATACAAGTTTCTCCAAGATAAAACACCACTTTGTGTCTAACATTCTATCCTCAGAGGTTAGTCAAATATACGATATTTTGTACGTTGGAAGATGATTTCTTGGCAAAATTCCAAAAAATTAGACTCAAACTACAAATTAAAGTGATCATTTTGCCATTGATATGTCATTGAATATTTTGCCAAAAATAGAAATTGATTTTGACAAAGGCAATTAACAAAGTAAAAAATCAATTGAATCCCTTTTTTTGTGTAAAGTTGACTAACCCCTTTTGAGTCCCTCATTTCCGTTTTTTGTGTTTTCAGCCATATTAAGATAGGTATATTCATTGTTTATATTCTTTCCATCCTAAATTGATATCCAACAAGCGATAGTTTTTTTTTTATAATATTTATCTGGGCTTATAAAGTTTCTGAAATTTGATAAATCTTCACACTATTTTTTAAATTTACAATCTCTTTGTCAAATATATTTTTTCTCTGTTTCTCGAGCTGCTCTTAGTCACATTTGTTTACAAAGATAAAACTTTAATAATATAATTTTATGTATTTTACGTGTTTTTTTTGTATTCGCAATTAACACCAGTTGCATCTTATTTTATTTAAAATCTGTTATTTTGGTTTTTACTTTGAAATGTAGCTTTTATCTTCACGGTGAGATAAAAATAAGCTCGTTTACTAGAAGAAGAAAGTTTGCCAGAAAATTTATGGAATTTTATGAAAGAAAACTAAATTGGTTTCTCTAAATCTGAGTTTTCTATCCTTTTAGGGTTTTTGAGTGTTGTAGCAAGAGTTATTTATTAATATTTGAAAAAAATTTAAAATCATCACGAACAAAGGTTCTAAAAATCAAATGATAAAATAAATTTCTCAAAAAGTTCTTATGATTCATAGGGAAAAAGTATGTAATATTAAGAAAGAGATTTTGAAAAGGAAAGCGGAATAAATGAAAATCCTAAAGTATCATCTCAAATTTAAACCTACTAATTTGTGTTTTTCTTTCTCTTGCTAATTGACAGTATTTTTTCTTTCTTGTTTTATGTAATTTCTCAATATTTCTGTATTTACAAATAGTTTCTAATTCGGAATATTTCCTAACAAGAAAAATTCTCGTTCAATAAGTTTATCTCTTTTGCGTCTTTCTTCCCCCCAATTAGCGTGTGTTTTCCTTTTTTTTTGTTCAAGAAACAACTCTTCATTTCTATTATAGAATTTTTACTGAATATCCTTTTTCATTTATATATTCGTTTATACAAATTATTAGAATATGCACTTTACCATGATGTTCCTATTTAAACATTTTCGAAATATTACTTTTTTTTATCAATATAAATTCGTTTTCAATAATTTTCCTTTATAATCTTAATTGAAAATGCTATCTTTTCATTATTAGTTCTTCTTGATGATTTTTAAAGGAAATGATAAAGTTAAAGATAAGTATTAAATACGCGCAGTGCCTTCGCGAATTAGATCAAAAGGAGCATATTTTGAAAAGTTCTTGTGCCATTACATTGAGACGTTTCGTTTTGTTTTCCACCTTTAAAATTGTTTATTATGCAATCATTTATAATATTTTCCTTTATCTATTTTACTTGGAAGTGCTTTGATGCATCTTATCTGCTGGCTATTCTTTTAATGACATTTCTATAAGTATTGTGTATTCTTGGTCTATTTCTTCACACTCTCAAAACTTACGCCTTTTTCTTTTCACCATCAGGATGAAAATGCACGGTAATTTGTAGGTCAAAGTCTTTTAAAAGATGGTATTCGTATAATTCTTTGTGACATTATATCGCTATCTACAAAAAATTCCTACACTTTGTCATTTTCTCCTTTTTGTTCTTACATGAGAGCTTGAAGGAGAATCTCTAGCAGATTCTCTTTATACAATTTAGTTAAACTTGAGATTTGATTCCGCGCTGGGAATTCCCTAAAAATTCTCTCTATGCTAAAGAGTACTCAGGAATTAGAAGATTGTCAACTGTCTGCTGGATCGTCCTTGTCTGCCTTCCACTCACTCTGTAGTCACCTTTCCTGATCTGGCGGCGACGCTTCGAACTGTCCTTCGCTGTCCGCCGCCTCGTCGTAATCGTAGAAGATGTTCGTCGTGTCGACGGGCATGTTCACGTCAATTGGGTCGTTGATGTCAATGGTTGTGGCGTCAGGGGATGAAAAGTCACCCTTTGGCGGCTCCTTCGGACTCTCCACCATAATGGTCACCGACGAAGATGGCGGCTCTATAGCATAAATGTCGTGTGTTGGTAATTCGTGTGGCTTACGTTTTGCCAGTTCACCTGCTATCGCAGCTGAAGAGGACGCTGTTTAGGCAGAAAGATATAAACTTAGGGGGGAAGAGTTTGGAGCTAGAAATTGCCTCAGAATTCACCTGTTTTTCCGCCATCTTCGGCGTCGGTGTGATACTCCTCGCTCTCTCTGTGAACGAGCACATGAACTAGCGTCTGATCGGCCTGAAGACGCTCACCTGGAACATGTGGAGTGTCTGGCGAAGGTTCCGTCACTAGAATACTCACATCTGCAGGTCCAGAAGGTCCGTCAGCTTTTCGGATTTGATTAGAAATGAAAGAACTTTAGAATGCATAGACATCAAGATCAAAATTCTTGTATATTGTGTTAGTTTACAAGCGTCAGTCACTGGGAAGATCATTGCAAAATGCTGAGAATCTGATTAAACAATGTGTTTTTGTCGTCTTTGCATGTCTTCGCAGTGAGTGAACTTTAAGTGTTTCTTTTTCGCGAAACGATCACAATGGAATTTTCTTTCATTTCAACATAGCAGCTGGGAAAATTTCACGTGATCGCCTCATTGAAGAGTGTGTGTGAAAGATTATTTTTTTGAACAAGAAGAAGGGAAAAACTTACAAACGAAAGCATTTCTATTGACTCGCAGTGCGCTTTGTGCTGAAAGGCCGCGCTCTAATGGCGGTTTCTTTTTAATGAAGCTTGTGGCCCTTTTGGCTTTAGGTGTTGATGAGCACTGTACAACTTCGCACTTCTCATCAGTGTTATTGAGAGACACAATTGTCCCACTTGGCGTGACACCTTTGAATTTACGTTAAAAGATAATGAATTGATTCATTGGTGGGCATATTGAGAAATGGTAGAGAAAAGAGATGAAATCAAAGTCACAAAATGATGGTATAAAACATTGAGAGGCAAAGTAATGGGAGACTTGGTCGTGGTGACACTGAGTAAAAGGGAGCATTCTTACTCTTCCTGAGGACAGACGGTGACGCCGCCACGTCATCCACAGCGTCCTGGTGGCGCAGGAAGAAGTTGTAGAAGCTGCGACGACGCACTGGTTTCGTGCCGTCCTGCTGGCCCGGCGTGCTAAATCAACCAAAAGACGGTTAGTGAGGAGCTCCTGAGCGCACCCACAAGCTTGTAACAGTCACACGACAACATTGAGAGTACGTTTTGTAATGTATCTTTTACAAGAGCGACAATATTTAACAGTTACAGGCTTTACATACAAAAATTGGTCAAAAGAAATGAAAATCATTTCAATATAAACACAGCAAAGAACTTTCTCACATCTCTTGCCATTTTACTTTCGCTTCATTTTGGCACGAACATTGAGGCGGATGGTGGGAAAACGAGTGCATTCAGTCTCAATTTTCACACTCATGGAAACATTGCGCGTCTTGGCATTCAATTTTGCTATGGTCTAACGAGAGAAGTGATGCACGTTTGCATTTATAATTCATTATCACGCAACAAAGGTGAACTCGTTCATTGGCATTCCGGAATGTGAGTCTCAACTGGGAGGCTAAAGTGGTGAAAGATCAAATGGCACAATAAACAAAACAGAAAACATATGATTTCTCTCGTCAAAGTGCAAAATCAATTGCTTGATTTCATGTCCTGAAGACAAATTCCACAAAAGATTTGCCAAATTTGTAAGATTGTGATTTTTTTTCATTTAGCAATTCTTTTTCAAATCCTGAATAAAGAGAACTTCTTGAGAATGTGTTCAGAGTTCAAACAAACAATTCCACTGAAGTGTTTGCTTCAGATGCAATAAAATCTACGCGCACAATTCTTCCGTGAGAGCAAAAGGATTCTATGGAGGAACACAACATCGAAACACGAGCAGAGAAATTCTCAGGGAGGACTTGGCATGAAGGAACAAAGGAAGAAAGCGACTGGGGAAGATGCTTGAACATAGTCAGAGCGCACAGAGAATTTCCCCAACAAATTGGGATGCGAGCTTGAACAGCGAATAGTTGTGTGCGAGTGCAGATTTGGAAAATACCCTCCGTCTCCGTTTTGCTGTAGATTTTTCATATCTTTGACCAGGTCACCAGTTCCAGAAACTAACATCAGAGGTAAATTAAGCCAGGGCCCAGTTAACTCGCTCAAATCCGATCCCTCACTGCATCGAGACGACTTCCGCGAGGACGCTCGACTCGATGTGGCGGTGCCGCGTCTATGTACTTGCAAATGCAAAAAATTGAGCGCCTGCAATTTGCTCTGCCACCCGCCAGGACTCGAAGTTTGAGTGTGTTCATCATCCTGTGATATCGGTGATCGTTCGCGCTCGCGCTTCTGTCTCAAGTACTCCCTCCATGTGCCCTGAATCAATTTAGCCGCCTTGTCCTGTCTCTTCCACACACGCGTCGAACTGACAATCTCCAGCTCTTTGCGTGTGGGGAATTGTTTCTTGAACTTGATGTCCATCTGCTCCTGCAACTGCTTAAAGTTGTCCGTCTCTTCCACGTGACCCAGGACGTGTTTCACCAGTGCGTGCAGTATATCGAGACAGTGTATTTTGTTGCCCTTCGAGATGGGCAGATTGAAAGACACCAGGGCCACCGTGTTGGGCTTCGGGATGCCCAGCGGTGGGTCCAGTGACGATATGAAGTCGGACAGTTGGGAAAAGTGTATGAATTGTGTGGCGTGTGGGTCGTATTTTGACCAGCGTATGTAAAACATCTCCAGATCGTCCTCCACAATGCCGATCTCCTCCTCCTGGTGCGCTTGGTTGAAGTTCTCCAGGATGATGGCGATGTACATATTGATCACGATCATGTAGCTGATTATAATGAAGCTGGTGAAGTACGTGATGGCCAGCAAAGGGTGTCCACAGTCCCCATTGGCTGACGGTGTGCTGCCGAGCTCGCAGTCCGGCGGCTGGATCATCAGCGACTCCAGCACATCATTCCAGCCCGCGGAGGTCATGAGACGAAAGAGCAGTTGCATGCTGCGGCTGAACGTCTGGAAGTTCACCATGTCGTCCAGGGCGCCTTGCAGGCGCACATGTCCGAAGAGTGACATGCCCAGGATGGCGTAGATGAAGGTGATCAGCGCCAGCAGGGCGCCGATGTTGAACAGCGCCGGTAACGAGACGACTAGCGCGAAGAGGAGCTTCCTGATTCCCTTGGCCGCCTTGATGAGCCTCAAGATCCTGCCGATGCGGAACACTCTGACCACTCTGAGCAGCGTCGGCGACACGGGCAGGTCGATCATGATGTCCTCCATGAGTATGCCAAGTATGGACGCGAGCACGAGGAGGAAGTCAAAGACATTCCATGGCACAGTGAAGTAGTGATATCTCAGTCCCACGATCTTCACAATCGCCTCCAGGCCGAAGACTGTTGTGAAGAACGCGTTGCTCACTTCGAGAATAAAGAACACAGCATGCGGTTGGTTGTAGTGTTCAATTCCCATTGTCAGCATATTCAGGAAGATCAGCACAAATATGGCTATCTCGAATCTGAAAGTACATCGCAAGTGATTGCAATATGGCGTCATTAAACAATGGACGATTGAGCGTTACCTTCGTGAATTTGAGAGATCGTAGAACATGGCCAAGAACTGATTGATTGGCCTCTTGATTACTTTCTGTGGTTTCTTGCGACCCAACTTCTTCATGGCTGTGTAATAGTGTTTCTGTGATTCTGTGAGAAACATCTCTAACACTCCTCCCTCGTACTGCAAACAAAAACGCCATTAGTACATTGCTTCCAGTGATTTACAGGATTCCTACCTTTTTCTTTAGCATATTGAAGTTGTCAATGATCACTCCGATGAAGAGATTGAGAGTGAAGAACGATCCGCACACTATGAATATCACAAAGTAGAAGTAAGCATACAAATTGGCCTCTCGCTGAGGTTGCAGATCGACACCGCGAGCATCAACGGCATCCGCCATGACTTCCATCCAGCCCTCGAACGTAGCCTAGAAAGCGAAGCATCAGCAAATCAGTTAAGGAACATCAATTGAGGAAGCAAAGAGCAAGCTTACCACTTGGAGGAGGGCCAAGTAGCCCATTCCGACGTGATCGAAAGTGATCTTGGAGTTGACCCAGGTGTAATTGAGGGCGAAGCACTGCTCGCGATCGTTGACTATGTCAACAGGGAGGAGTTCACCGTCGTCGTCGATGCACTTGAAGAACTTGCCGCCAAAGAACTGGACGCCCATGATGGAGAAAATGAGCCAAAAGACGAGACACACAAGGAGGACATTGAAAATCGAAGGAATCGCGTACATGAGAGCATTCACTACAATTCTCATTCCTTGCCATCTTGAAATGGCACGTAATGGCCGGAGTGCTCTCAGTGTCCGCAACGAGCGGAGAACCCGCAGGTTTTCATTCTCCTCAATGAGTAGTGAGAAGACGGACACCTGCAAAGTTAAAACATAGCTTCGTCAGTTCGGCGATCGTGACAGTGTGCGAACTAGGAAAAATAGTAAAGATCGTCCTGGTGATCGTGCATGAAGCTTCAATGGAAAAATATTGGCCTGAGTCTCTACAGACTCGGTGGGTAATTGCAAAAATCAAGTACGTAAGTGGCTCATAAAGAGTTGTTGAGTATAAAATTATGTCCTATAAAGCCTTCAAGATAGAGTGATCGCGATCTAGATAAAAATGTCTACATTTTGCACCAACTACAAAAATTTGGTGATCGATTCTAAAAAAATATCGTATGATCTTCGAATCTATTGTATAGTAACGAAAGAGATCCAATTGGAGAGGTAAGATTTGTTTCTAATAAAGAAAAAAAACCACTAAGTTGTGAAAAATCGTGAGACAATATCTATGACTTCCTGCTTATTTTGCGCTTGACTCCTCTCACACTTATACAAAAACTGAAACAAAGTGAATGAACGGGATCGCGAGAGATGTGTCCATTCGCCACAGTGGATACTTACAAAGACGATTATGAAATCCAGTATGGTCCAGAAGCTGGTGAAGTACTTGGTGAAACCGAGAGCTATCCACTTGAGGACCATCTCGATAATGAAGATTAGGCAGAAGCCCAGATTTGTCCAGTAGAGGATCTTCTTCAGGCGCACATTCGAGTCCAAGTGGATGTCCTCGAAGCATAGCGTAATACTGGAGGCGAATATCAAGACGAGGACGAACCACTCGAACGTCGGCGTGTCTACAATGGTCAGCACGGCCGTTCGCACTGCGGTCCACACATTGCCAAGTGGTGAGTTCAGGAAACGCTGGAAGCACGGACATCGTTCGTAGCAACGTTGCGGGAAACAATCCTGTGGTACCTTCTGCGAGCGATTTCGCCCGAAGCTGGGGAATGACATGGGATCCTCATAGCACCCTTTGGAATTTCGTCGACCACCCACGGTTAGATCGTCCACGTATGATACCAAACAGTGCCATGGTTTATCGCTCGCTTTCGCTTTCTTGTCTGTTACGCAGAAGAGAAACATAGAATTAGACAAGCTCAATCGAAAGCTCCGATTGTAACTACCTGACTTCGGGCTCTTTCCTTTCGTCGTTCGTCGGGAATCGCTTTCAGACTTCTCTGAAGAGTCAACATCCAAAGTTACACTCTTCACCGCATCCACTTGACGATGGACAGGAAGAATGCTTCCGGACTTTGGCAAGGGTGACGCGCTAGCTCTAAGGTTATCTTGGCTGTGGCACACTTTCAGCGGAAGTGGCTCGAGGCTCAACTCCTTTCCCAGGTACTTCCTTGGCAATTTCTCGCTTTCCACCTTGAGAGGCTGCCGCTCCTCCTCCTCGACGCGCTCTATCAGGCTCGTTCGCTTGATCCGCTCGAACGAGGCTTGAAAGTCAGATTTTGGCTTCAATCCACCCAAATCGTTGCCGAAGGGTGCCTGCATTTGATCACAGATTTTCTTTATTTCCGCCGGCACGTGGAAGTCATCATCGGAGATCTTCTTCTGCTTCTCCAGGCTGCGCCTCTTGATCTTCACACTTCCTCTGTCGGGAGGAATGGCGTGCACGGGCTTCGGTCGCCGACGGACAATATCAGATGACTCGAGAGTGGCTGGAAGAGATGCAGTTTTGTCCTGACTCACTTTGATCGATGGCTTCCGCTCGAGCGAAAGGGAAGATTGTTTCTTGAGATCAGTCAATTCTTTGTCGAAGCTCTCGATCAAGTAATCAAACTCTGATGTCTCAACCAAGGGTTTCTTATCGTGATACATCTTGTCTGTGCTTCCTCCTCGCTTGATCTCCAATGTTTGAAAGATTGAATTCGAGATGTTGCTCAAATTCGATCGCAGACTCGCACTTGAGACTTTCCTGTCGGAGAACACAGAGTCATCTCGACGTCCATCGTCGAAGACGAGACTGTCTGTATCTGGATCTATGAGAGCACTTCCGTATCCGACTGTCTCGCTGAAGTAGTTGTTGCTGTTGTCGAAGTCATCACTGAGAAATTGCCACAATTCCTTCTGCTCGCAGTTGAGCAGTTCATCGCGCAAATTCATCTGATTTGGCAGATCCTCGTGATCTTGTGTGTCTGGAATTGGAGGTGTTCTTCCGGCTTCAGGCACCTTCAAACTGCTGGACAACTGACTAGAACGCCTCGACTGAGGTGATATATTGAGCTGCGTCACTGGCGATCGCACTGTTAACTCTTCCTCCTTCTGGCTGCGCTCTTCAAAGTGATCAATCTCCGTCATGACGAGATCTCCTGGATCAGTGTCTGTGGAGTTTATCGGACCAAGTGTCCTTAGTTCGATGGATTCCGTTGTTGTCGGTTCGTCGCGGCTGTCATTCTGCTGCGTTCCGAATCCTGAAGATATTTGGTGCAACAGTTTTCTCTCACTGGGAACTGGAGGCTTCAAGTCCTCATATCTGGAAAAAATCAGCAATATAAGCTACGTTCGATTTCTGATTGTGAGAAATTACTCTAACTGATCCTCCCGAAACTGACGATCATCAACTTCGCGAAAAGTCTCCTGACTTCCTGTTATGGGTTGAAGGTATCCTTTCGGATTCAGAGGAATGTCTAGTCCAAAGTCGGAGCCAGAAATTGGTCTGTTCAGCGATTCCTGGAGTGAAAATTCACATTCAAGCTTCTATTAATTTGAGTGTATTATTGTCTTCGCGTCTCACCTGATAACTATGCCTATACAGAGTCTTTTGTTGAATTTCCACAGATAAATAGTGTTTATCAGCAGTCTTGAGTCGATCTTTGTTGCTCCTGCGCGTTACCATCACTTCATTAACAATCTCCTCGAGTTTTGGCTTCTGTCTCGCCCCTTCTCTCGCCATTCGCTTCTTTCGCACAATAGAACGTATCCTCTCGAAACTCCTTGCCAATTTAGACTCTTCTCCAACCTCCTAGTTTAGCACACAAGACAATACATTATTGTCACCACTCTCAAAGCACAAGTTCTGATGGAGTAGCTGGCAAGATGCAATGAAATTTTCTTCCACGTCTAATGTGAGCAAATAACAACACTTCTCCACCAATTACAAGTGTGCAGAAAAAGCATTAACAGCAAATATTCGGTACAGTATATAGGCAAAAGTGAAGCATAAGAGGTAGAAATACACATATAGAATTACCTTCTTCAATCTCTTCGTTGTGCAAGTTTTACAAATTTGTGCAAAAAGTACACAGAAAGAAAGACATTAAACATTTACATGAATGACAGACACTGAGACACACTAAAACATGCCTCTTATATGGTTTTATATTTGCTACGGTTATTTAATTATTTAGAGAGAGATGAGAATTCGCTTTTATTTTATAATTACACTCTTGGAAGCTTGATGAGCGCTGAAATATTCATTTTCAGTTAAATTTTACAGAGCACATTCACACAAAAGTACACACACAACATTGATATTTGAAATTACATTTTGCGGCATTGACAAATATTTACAAACTCCACAAATTACTCATTTCCTACATTATCAATTATATGCAGAACACTTTGGTCATTCAATTTGCAAGGATGATCCACAATTTGCATTTGTGGGCGGAGCTTTAGAGTGGGCGGGGTGACGCCAATTTTCACGTGTCGCGCTCGTTTTACTGTTTTTTTTTGGCAAAATTTATAGATCATCCTTGTGCAATTTGGTTCTCCACCAGTGAAACTTTTTCCCAAGGGACATTTAACCGCAAATCCTTTTTCGCCTCCACTCATGCAGAAAATACACATCAAACAATTTATGGCGCCAGCGAAATTCACACCACAAGTCCACATTAAGTACAAGTTATTGCACAAAATACACACAGGAAAACACTGCGAACAGCATTGAGTGTGTGTGGGGTGAATGGGAAACGAACCTCTTTTTTCGATTTAAGCTCCTCCGAATTGAAACTGTTGAGCAACAAGGCCAAGAACAAATTCAGCACCATGAAATTTCCCATTACGAGTGTCGGCAGGAAGATGGCAAAACACGACGAGGCTCCATCCTGTCAGGGTGAGAAAGGAGAGAGGAAAATTTATTAGTCTTCAATTAAAACTTTCCCACTGCAGCAGGGCATTATTTTTTTTCTGCCCCGGTCATTTACTTTCTCCTCGGCTCTCATGCAGTCCCACAGCGGTTCTATCCACTCTCCGCAGAGAATGCGAAAAATCATCATGAAGGAGTGAAAAAAATCGTTGAAATTCCATCTGAAAGCGCGACAAGAGAGAGAATTTAGTGTTCATCACGAGTTGGCGCCGCGGGACATTTTCGGTGATGATTGAACTGACCTGGGAACGGGATCGGGAAAGAACTTGTCCGGAGTGTAATCCTTGGAGAACAGTTGCATCCCAATCACGGCAAATATGTAAATAACTATCACTAAGACGAGAGTCAAGTTACCGAGAGCACCTATTGTCGATATAATAATACTAAGTAGAACTTTCATCGTTGTCCATGATTGAGCCAGTTTCAGGACTCTCAACTATGTAGGAAAGCAGAGCATTAGGGTGGATGTTTAGGACAATTCGGCGATGGCGAACTCACCAATCTCAGGCCTCTGAGGACACTCAGTCCATCAACAAGTTCAAATATAATGTCCAAAAGGCTGGCAGATACGATGATCAAATCAAAGATATTCCAGCCGCAGAGGAAGAAGTCTTTGGATAAAGCCATCAGCTTCATAATGCATTCGAAAGTAAAAATTGATGTGAACACCTGCAAAGCAAATTCATCATCATGAAAATATGCCAAGGATTTTCTTGAATATCCACTCTTAAGCATTCCTTCGCTCAAAGTTGTGATGGAAGAAAAAATTTCTCAAATAATCCACCTTCTTTTCATTCCCTCCCTCAAATTAGTCTCTCTTCATAGACAACCTGCTTTCGTCTGTTAATTTACCCAGGGCTTGTTCATCGACAAAGTGTGTGTGTTGGGAAAAGAAAGTTCAATTTCAATTATTTAACGATCAAAAGTTGTCCGAGGGGAAAAATCACGGTGAAAAGTGAGAAAAAGTGAAGTTAGAGCGGGTGAAAAGTTGGCAGACGATGTCTTGTAATTAAAGATTACATTCATAGCCGATGAACAGACCCAAAATTAAACTTTGTTAGAGTGGCAGGCGACATATATACTCACTTTATTTCCAATATCCAAGGCTTGACGAATATTTTCACTCATTCCGTGATGTTCTAACGCTAAGAACATTGTATTTAGGACTATACATAACGTAATTGCTAATTCAAACAGTGGATCCTTAACTACCTGCAAAGAGTCGGAGAGAAGAAGGGAAGGGAGAATTACCATGAAATTCACATCGTCATTTTCATTATCGTCCTACTTTGTATAAACAATTTTGGAACTGTAGCCAGCCCTCGTAATCTATGCAGCATTGAACACATCTGTCACAATTTCGATCAGGAAGATCATCTGGAATTGGCGAGAGAGAGACAAAGTGATAGAAACTGGATGAGGAAATGTGAAGGAATTGCGTTAAACTATACAAAGATGATGAGAGTGTGAATTTCCATGTGCCAATTAAAATGACCAATTCATGTAAAGTGCTACTCATGAGTAATCCCCAAAGGACACATAAGGAATTGGATGCAATTATAGAGACAAGAGAAAGCACTATGCTTACAATTACAGTATATTTTAATGACCAAATTTGTCACTCTTTATCTCAGATAATATTGAAGTAAAGATTCTTGCAACTTTGCACAATAAACACCAATATTGAAAACGAAATCTATTAGATTAAAGATGTAAAGATGAGGAAATATCTCCTTAAAGAAAGATTTGAGAGCTTCATGAACATAAATTTTCTATCTGCTCTCGACTGACTTCCGCTGGCGCTTTTCTCCCAACATGTGAGGCGATAGATGGAATAAAATTGCATGCATATGGATTACCTAAAACAACAATTTGCGATAGATACTCCGGATGAAGGGCGTACACGTTGTGCTTCTTCATCCGTGCTATATTTCCGTTGCACTTGATTATTCGCACTTCTCGCGGCGAGAGCGCCAGAGTGACGGGCGTCACATCCCGATGGAGTTGCTGTTTGTGGGGTGGGAAAAAGGGAAGATGTGAGAGCGAAGGGGAGGAAGTTTGGTCAGTGACTCTCTCCACTCACCTCAATGTTCGCCGCATGGAGCAATTCCATGGCCAAGTCCTGCTCATCGTGATCGTCCACCACGCCGGAATCGTCAAGGGAAGATTCGCGATTCACGCCGCCGCCCTCGCTGGCGTTGGAGCTCGCCTGGCGACTGCTGGGCAGAAGCTGACCCCTGTAATTGGCTCCTGCGAGGCAAATCGAATTAGCCACCGAGAGCTCTTAGTGTAAATCCCCCTAATGAAGGCTCATGGGACATGCCAGCGCCACTAATTAGTGCTGCTGGTCCTCCGCGCGCTCCTCAACTCTCTCCCTCAACGCGAGGAGCGCGAGTCAGAGAGAGAGAAAAAAAAGAGTGCATTTTCACCGAATTTTTGACATGACATGGGTGCGATATCGCTTACATTTCATGGCAAAAGGGCCTTGATAGAAACTTTTAATGACCAATATCATATTATTCCGGCAAATTTCCCTCATGAAAGGTTGCTCTCATCCAATTATTGTTAGCCAGGAAATTTCCACCCACTCTTTGAGGTGATGACTGACGTCATAAAAGCTCCTTTGGCAGGTAAATGGTCAAGAGAGAGAGAGAGTGAGCATAATAACAGGGAAGTTTATGCCCAGGAATTTTTAACGAGAAACCCGAGAAATATGGCAATTTGGTAGGGGCGCAGTTGCTGGAATTGGATTCCTCTCACCTAATGGATGGAGAGTGTTGGGATTTTGTGCTGTGCTCTGAACTGTGACTCCTCGTCCTCTCTGAATGGCGAGCGCTGGCCGAGGACTTGGACTCGGACTGGGCGTCACAGATCGACCTCCTTTTGGCTGGGAAGAAGAAGAGGAGGAGACACTTTGACGCATGAAATATGCACAGAATTGCAAGGGAATGTCACCTGATTGTTGCTGTTGCCCTCCTTGGTCTTTCCCTTTCTCCGTCTGGTCTTCTTGCGCGAATAGCTGGCCAGCAGGACGCCCTTGCGCGAATCAATCTTCTTCCTCTGATTCTTATTTAGCTTCTTCACATTCAATTTGGACGGATCGAAACTGAATGTGGAATCATCCCTGTGATCCAGTAAGTCTTTTTTTCTTTCCTGCAAAGACACACACACGGAAAAGTGAGCACAAAGTGATATGTCAATCAGTTCGTTGTCGTTCCAATTGTCTCGCATCAAATTGCACGTGTTGTGTGTCTCTCTGGTGGGGGATTAATTGTGTCCCCTCAAATCATCATCTCCCCAGGTCATGCCTTCATTCACGAATGGCAAAACTCCTCTCCAGCATTGCAGACATGTCTCCCACACCCCCCGGACAGCGTCTCTCGGCGTCATTACATTCCATCACAGCTCGGTGACATGGAACTATTTTTGTGGTCCAAGAGCGTCTGAATTATTCATCGCTGGCAAGATTGGATGTGAAATTTGCGAGAGTTCACCGATCCAATAACCAACTTCAGCAATTGGCACCATTCAATAAATGTGGCGAAATTGGCTCCATTGGCTCTCTAAAGGCAGCACAAGTGTTTTAGAGACGATTTCCCTTGTTTTTCCCAGCGCTTCGAGGAATATTGGCAAGATGTTTCCTCGTGAAAGACTTTGAATAACACTTCAACTGCCAAATATCAGGATTTTAAGACATTGTAAGCCAGGAATTCACTCGGAAATTCAAGACCTTGTTCAAGACATAAGAAACCATCAATATTAAACCGAGCAAAATAAGTGACTATGGAATAGGCATGACTTGAATTCATTGATTGGAGTCACACTTAACATTGCTCTCTTGTGTCTAACACAAAGTTAAACATTAACTTACGCCCTACGTCGTCAATTTGTCCACAGCAAGAGTGTAAAATTAAGTGACATGAATAGTTTAGCAATTGATTAAGCAATCCTCATCATCAATCCTCCCCTTAGACCAATTTAAGACAAACTTCAGGTCAGAGTTCACGCCAAGCGGCAAGTAATGCGAGATGAGCATCGATGGAGACACCTTAAACCCATGCAATTAATCTTAAACTGTTGATACCTCAAGTGTAATTTGCGCCTCCTCCTCGTACGCCAACGCTACGACGGCCAGCATGAGGTTGATGAGATAGAAGGACCCGAAGAAGACCACGACGGTGAAGAAGGAGACGCTCATGGGTCCAGATGTGGCCAAAATCTGCGAAATCATGCAATTTTAATTGCACTGTGCATAGCAATAAAGAGGCGTGATAACTGCACGCCGAGCAATTCTCACCATATTGTAAACATTCTCCCAATAGTCGAGGGTTATTAGCTGGAAAGTGGTGAGCATGGACCACATGAAGTTATCGAAGCTCGTGTAGCCGTGATTTGGATTGTTGCCTATACATAAACATGTGTAACCTGGGAAGGATGTGGAGGCGGAAATTAGTTGAATCATCGAATCTGGCCCACACTTTGCAATTCGGAGCCCCAAACGAGGGGCGGTTGATTGCAAAGGGGCGAGAGAGAGAGAGCAATTCAATTGACGTGTAAGCATAATGGACATGATTATTCTCATGGTTTTCAGCAGTTATGCTTCGTATGCCACTTTGGAATCTCATTCTCATTTGCCACTGAGACAATTATACTGAACTGAGAGAAAAAATATATATCAGAACAAGAATTGGGCATCTTTTAAATGAGTTCTCTATAAATATTCCTATATTTTTGAATCTCTTTTCGCACTAATTTTTATTAAATTTATGTCAATAATCGAAAAAATCTTTATTAGACTGAAAAATGGTCATATATGTATAAGAAAAACTCAATAATTTGCCTATTTTGCACCTTAAAAACAAAATTTTTCATTATACTCCAAACTAAAGCATTTTTCCTTTGAAAAATGCCAAAACTCAAATTCACTTCAGTTTCTCTTTCAGTGCATGAGCACAATGGAATTGTGGGAAAAAAGCTTTTTTGGCTCAATTTGGCAAAAGAAAACATTGTAAGGGATTTTACAAAGATAGTACGTCTCGAGTTAAGATTAAGCAGAAAACATTTCTAATTATTATTTCTGTGTGGAGAGGCGTGGAAGTTTCTTCTACATGTTGTGGATAATTTATTTAAGTGTTTCCAGCTGAAATTCCCTCAAACAAAGCAAATTGTCTCAAGGATCCTTAGACACTCTCCACACTCTCACCCCTCTCGACCCGTGTGAAGTGGGCGAGAGAGATGTGAGAATTCGTGTGTTTGCATGTTTTCTCTCGTAATAGATTTTAACTAAATGATAACTTTATATGTGGAAAACTTTATGAAAACAGCAAGGGTGTATAAACTCTTCATTATTCACTTTATAATTTACTCTCCCTCAGCATTGTTGGCAGTGCTGTGTTGCCGCGCAGGGGGGGGCGAAGGTGGAGAAATGCTAGACTGTATCTCGACAAAGGTGAAAACATACCTGAAGGACAGTGACGGGCACCGGTTAGATTTCCGCACAACAGAGGAAATCCCTCCTCGTCGTAAATCCAATTCTCTGTATCATTCACCCAACTGGAAGTGGAAATTTCGCATTAAAATCCCACTCAATTCATGAGCCCGCAAACTTTACCTCTTCCACTCTTCAGCTGTACTATTCCAGTCCTGTGGAAGATTCCTAACACACTTATTCCTAAGCTCGCCCATGTAAACCTGTGGAGAGTGTGGAAAAGTGCACAGTGAAAATTGTATAAATCGCCCCACAGAAAAAGTGTCCCACTTTTCCATCCACTTTTGTGTGAAGAAATTGTGTTTGTGTGTGCGAAGAAAAGTCGCATTATTTCGCAGTGACTCAACATCGAGAATTGCGCCTCATGAATGATATCTTTGATAGGGAAAATTTTGAATAAGACCCAAAAATCTTCAAACCCAATTCTTCAGGTCACCTCTGAACGACCAAACTTGAACTGGGAGGAGAGATTTATCTTTAATGAACTCTTGCATATAAAATTTCCAGCTGAAATATTCACTTCGGCGAATCCTTGATGCTCAGCCAGAAAGTCCAATTTCTTCAGTGTGTCGTCACAGTTTGCATTCCAGCGACACTGCGAGAAGCAAAACCGCCACACAGAGCTTTCAGAGTTGCTTAAAAGCTCATGCTTTTAGATAGTTTTCCGCTCAGTGTCTTTTCGTTTTGAGGAAGTATTTAAATTTTCATCCCCTTTTCACATCAACTCTTCGTTTCCTCGACGGAATCAAAAGAGTAATGATTTCCCCCATATACCTTCAATCATTGCGCCCCACGAATGAGAAGTGTAATGAGATTAAATGTGTGGGGAATCTCTGTGGATTTAATTAATGTCAAATATCACACAGATAATCAAACTTTAACGACACTTTTGGGGTGGTGCTTTTGACACCTCCTCCCCAGAGATTTGCGGCGGTGAAACTTACCTGGAGAGCGAAAAGGGCAAAAACCATCAAACAGAAAATTGTAAGAGTCATTACTTCCGCTAATTGACGAAATGAGTGAAGGAGTGCGTTGATGATGACTTTGAGTCCTGCAAGGCGAGAAACGAGAGCAACATTGGCACGAGTGTCTCAAGATGACGCCGAAGGTCGGCTGGCAAATTGGCCAGCGTCCCAAGCAAATATTTGATGTGCTACATTATATATGTTACCTGGCATTATGGAAATAGTTTTGAGCGCTCTCAGCACACGAAATGTTCTCAATCCGGCCAAATTTCCAACTTCCATGCCAATCGTGGCGTAGCCGCTGGTAATTACAACGAAGTCCAGCCAATTCCATGGATTCCTCAGGTACGTGTATTTATTCAGAACAAAGCCCTTGGCAATTATTTTAATTACCATCTCAGCTGTGTAGATCACCAAAAATATGTATCTGCGAATGGGAAAATTGAGTCTGTCTTCAGAGATGCTGCCAAGTTTTGGGGCTGCTGTTTATTCAATCCATTTCTCAGGTGCCTTCTCGCTATATATTACATCCTCTGGGAATTGCCACCCCAACCCACCAAAGCCCGCCCACAGCGTCTTGGGCGACCGCCCTTGCGAGCCATATGGGAAATTCTACAAGTTCCTGGCTAAGGAATCATCTGCATTGCGTCTCCCGGGTCGCATTTCATCTCAGGTGAGACACCCTCATGATCACTCACTCGAAAGAGGTCACGGGGTCGCACTATTTTGTAAATTTTCACTTCTGCCACTTCATGTTGGACGATAAATTCAGCTTAATGCCAGATGCAATATTTCTGAACTATCCAGAGACTGTTATTTCCGACTTATTTCACTTCTTCTCCTCGTGAAACTCATGTTAACACACAAATTGTGCTTTGCAAAAGCATGTTAGAGAAAGCCAACAAGCTGAAGAGAGTCTCTAGACTGCATTTAACGCATTTAAGCACTGCAGAATGTCCTTTATGGCTCTCTTAAATCAAATATTGTGAAAGAATTAATTAAATTTCACCCGTGCTTTTTGCGCTATATGAAAATTATTCAATTAAAATATCGTTTGAAAATTGAAAAGTCCTTAATTCAATGGTTAAAATTACCTCAATCTCTCTTACACTTTGTGCTTTAAGTAGACTAATTCGTCCTTTAAACGTCATCCTGTGAAAATCCCACAGAATTTTCTCACTTGCATTTACAGCAAAGCTCAAAAGAAGTGGATTAAACGAAGTGCAAATTTAATGTGTATATATATATTGTTATCCACTCAAGAGGATAAAATTCCTCAACACCGGAAATTAACCCGAGTCTTTGAGAGAATATGCACTAATAGAATAAAATGAACTTTTGCACTTTGTGTGTTCCGCCAAGGAAATTGCTCTTGTCTGAGCATTTAATTCGGTTTCGTGTATTTTGCAAATAGCAAAACAAATACTCCTAATTAGATTCACAAATGCAACACCAAAATATAAGTCTTGCGCTTTAATGCACAAGCTTGCTAATTGAATTGCACATGCTGACTTCCGAGCTCAGCGACATTCTTGCCACAATTGCAAGAAGAGATCAAATATTTATTTTGCCGTGTTTTCCCCGCACGATTTTCATCAGTGATTTGTTGTCGGCTGAGACGTGATCATTAGATGAACACCATGGCAATATTGTTGGGGAGAATTTGGGGGGAAAAGTCTCCCTCTCGCGTGGCAAGAGGTAAATATATCATTATCATTATTCATATCGGGCGCTAGGCCGAAGGGTGGGTTTGATGGAAGGGCAAATAATGATGTAAAAGTAGCATCTTTAGTAACTCCTTCTCGCGCCACTTCTCGTCTTTGGCACGCAGAGAGCATTTTCCACTTTATCCCTTAACACGTGATACCAACCATTTACAGGCGTCCCGACAAGCCATCGAGAGAGCCGCACACTTTGGCTGAAAAAAAAACACGACGCACGAGGATAAATTTGAGGGCTTGCGAGGAGTTTTTATGTGCAACGAGTGAAGGCGCCGTTAAAGAGCGCCGCGAGGGGCGGAAATCAACTGCCGCCATCGATTCTGAGGCTCTCCCCGCGGAGAAACGTGCCGCCCATACCCAAGAGCCCAGATGGCCAGAACGACTGGGGAGGAATACTCACTCTGCCTCTTCCACGGTCTCCGTCATGGCGAGAAAGACGCAGTTGAGGAGGATCGTGGCCATCACGACGTAGTCGAAGAACTGATTCGTGGCCAGGTACACACAGGCTCGCCGCCACGGACTCCAGGGGGTGAAGCAGAACAGGCTCTTGGTGCCCGTGAAACGATGGATGTAGTTCTTCCGGAAGCGCTTCGATACCACACAGAAAGTCTGCAAGGAAAGGTGAAATCAAAGTCAAATTTAGCATTTCATCACTTGATAATGCTTCACATCAGGTGACACTCAAATCATTTAAGACACTCCCACTTAAAAAATCCGCCCTCGCGAGAATTCCATGCAATAATTGCATGTTGCAATGTTTGTTCAGAGTTTATTGGTAAAATTTTTATTTAAAAAAAAAACGAGAAAATATGTAGATTTTGGGGATTTTTTGTAATCAACATTGCAGCTCTAACCATTCCTCAATCCTTAATGTTTATCATATCAGCCCTTTGCCTTTGAAGGAATCTGCATAAATGCCTTCAATAGGAGATAACGCAAGAATTAGCAGCCAAATCTCCGATAACGTTGAAATTTTAATGTGATTCAAAGTGCCACGGAGGGGAAATCCGCTCACTTGCGCACAATGCCCTCTGCACAGCGAAACCCGCAATCAATAGTGCGCGCGTTCGGGCGCTCGGCTGAGTGGTCGGTTTCCCGCGAGTGCGCAGCACGCCATCTTGGCCAGCCGAAGCGGCCTTTTCATTTCTCATCAGTCCAGAAGACAAGTCGTGTGTGGCGTGGCTGCGGATTTTTCCCAAATTCTGCGGTTTCTACCCAACTTGTTGAGAAAATGAGAGCTAAGGTACGTTGCTAAAGTGGTGCATTAAGAGAATCGAGTGTGATTTTCCCGGAATTTTTCGTTATTTCGAGGAAAATCCAGTTTGAAAATTAGGCTTGACGACACGTGTTGAGGCCGCATTTCAAGTGGATTTTCCGATGAAAAATGGGAACTGAGGTGGAAAATTGTGTGAATAAGTGTGTTTTGGGCCCTGCAGAGTGGCTGGAGTGTGAAAATTCCATGAAAATCCCACAATTTCCTGCCTTAATTCAACATAACCTGTAATTCTTTCCGGAAGTGCGACTGAGACTCTTGTTCTTCTCTTTGCAGTGGCGGAAGAAGCGTATGCGAAGGCTGAAGCGTAAGCGCAGAAAGATGCGTGCGAGGTCCAAGTAATTCTCCACGAGGTAAGACTAAAGATTGGTGGAAATTTCCCTATAGAACACTGAGAATTTCTTGCATCTTTTTCCAGACTTTACGGTTCCGCGTGTTCCGGACAGGGGCTGCTGAGCAGCAGGACGTGACGCGCCCGCAAGGTGTGCAGTCAGAGGAATGTTCTGTGTTTGTGGAAATAAATCAATAGCCCTTTGTGTGGACACGAAAAGAGCGTCTTTTGCCTTCCCTGCGCACGAAGGGTTTCGCTGGGGCGCTTCGATGTCTGGGGAATCGCTTAATTTGCCGCTGTTGCTGGGGATTCCACGTGGGAGGCATAAAAATCGATTAGACGCTTCTGACTCGCATAAATTAGTGCTTAATCAAGTGATCTCCAATCCCCTCGAGAGCAATCCCTCGTCTTCCGGCGGTCAGGAGAATCATGAGCAGCGCCCGGATTAATTATTTGCCTTCTGACGGACATTTTCCCGTGTTTCACTAACGGAGTTGCTCTGCTCGAGAGACGATCGACAGAGTCGCGTCGAAAATCGCGAAGCAGCTCAAGAGAGGAAATTCAGGTAAATTTAATTCGCGGTCAAAATTAAATGAATATGCAAATATAAATCTATCGCGACTTAATTATCAAACTCCGGACCGTAAATGGACATTTAAATGAGCATTTACACACACATTTCAGCGGAATTCTTGATTCAATGAATTATTCTGTGTTCTTTTCGCTCGAATTTCTGCGAAGAGTGCAAAGAAAATTCGCTGTAAAAATAGAGAGGTTTTTTCAGGTGCAAACTCACAAGAAAGTAGCAAAAGCGCTTAAATCGAGAGGAATTTTCAAGAGTTTCATAGAGATAAAATCGATAAAATAAATTCAAGTGGTTTCTAAGCTTTTCTTACGCTTTTATCATATAAATGTGAAGCTCTTCTAAAGTTTCAACATTCTCGATAATTTCTAACACGAATCATCTTTATTTTGATGTTTTCTTTTGTGAGTTTCAACTCCAGAGCTTTCAAGTGTTTCAAGTGATATGAAGCTGAACTTTTTGTGCTATTTTCTCTCTTAGAATTTTAGTCATGATTTTAATTTTTGATGAATAAATTTAAAAGTTTAATTAAATAGACAACTTGCCAAAACTATTCTCTTTTCTTTGCTTCAAATTAGAAATAAATTTTTAATATCATTTTCATTTTTAATTAAATAATAATTATAAATTTTCACAAATAATTCCTTTGCATTGCCAGAACGTTTAGACGTGGAGTTCGAAAATCTTTGAATGAATGTTTTCCTCGAAAATCTGTGTTTTCTTAAGGAATTTTGATCATATGTATGTTTGTTATGCATAAATGAATAAATTTTCCAACGCAAATAATCCTTTTGAATCCCTTCATAAGCTCTTCTATCAGGATAATTGTTAAAATCTGTGAAACCAATAACGATATTTTTCCTCTGATTCTCGCATTTATTTTTATGCTTTTAGTGTTGTGAAAATGATTTTCATGAGTTGTTTTTCTACAATATGCCAGGACTAACGAAATTAATACATATAAAATCAAGCTGACTTAATTCTCCTCACATCCGAATCGCATCGCGATGAAAGAAGTATCGCAAGTGCCAAAATAAAAGATGCTCACCATCGATAGATGTAATCCAAGTTAATGAAATATTCATGGGAATTTTCCTTCTCTTGCGCTCCCACCCAGTCTCAATGTTCTTTATTGGAAAAACAAATAGAGCCGCACCACTGAATTATTTCCTCTCGTATTTTCACCTTTTCCCAGCAAATATTACTCAAATATTCCAATTCTGTTATTCCACACCGTCAATTTCTGCCTTCGCCCCAATCGCGAAAATCAATATCCACCAATTCGCCCGATTTCCCAGATTTTTCCACTGCACTCGTTGGGATTATTGCAAAATTCGCGCGATGTACTATCGTGCAATTGAGGGAAAGGTGTCCGAATTTTCTCCACTTTCACGCGGAGTGAAGCCTTTTTGTTTGTACAGCGCTGCACTTTTTCACACCCCAAGGAAATTTGCATCAATTTGAAAGTTGAACTCCATAATTGACACTTTTCATCCGGGAAATCGTCACACAGCGAAGACGGAAAAAAATACTGGGCAATTCATTCTCTTCCACCCTTCGCGCAATGTGAGCTTTTATTGGGGAAAAGCACGCCACTTGTGCAAATAAAAACGCTTGTAATTATGCCCGAATGGAGTGTATTCTGTTGCAGGGCGGTTTGTGTGTAATTTTATGCGTTCTCGGTGGAGCCTTTAATTGTGCTGCAGCTTTTCTGTCATGTTTTCTGGGGGTGGCAAAAAAGTGACCGCAAATTGAAGTTTGTGCGTGAAAATTTGCATTGACGAAAGTTGACACATTTAAACCACTCTCGTCAGTTTTCATCACCGCGCCCATATTTTCTCCCGCACATTGTAGCAACAACATATAAAAGCCTGGGCGAATATGGTCTGAATGCGAGACACTTTCGCATTGATTAGAATAGTAATGCGGCTAATGGGAAACGCCAGAGTCGTTTCGCCATGACTGAAAATGAGGGGGAGAAAATGACGCTGACTGAGGAGAAGAATGGTTGTATTTTCATGTGACGCATTGTGAAATGAATATTTAATACACTTTGTGTACGCGCGCTTTTTGCTCACCCATCAGGAAATGCGTTACATTTGCGTGAAAATGAAATTGAAGGCATAAAACATGTCCTCGAGCAGCACACATTTCTTTAACAACGAATCCTTGTACCGCTTTTCCTGAGGACCTGCAAAGCTCTCCGATGCTTCACTATCAAGTGACATCAACCATTCTCACCGCCACCCTTTGAATGCATTAGCATTAAACCGCCTTTTGATGTTCTCCTTCTGCGTCGTCATCAAAACTGCCGATATGAGCAGAAATGACGCAAAGTGCTATAATTTGTATACTCTCGAATCCATTCAGTCATAAGAGAAAGCGATTTATTGCCTAGTCTTGTGCATTAAAGTTGACCTTTTTGTCCTCTCTGACACCGAGAGAAAGGGATAAAAATTCAAGTGTTTGCCAACGGACGGGGACAATAAAATGAGAGGGTGGAATTTTTCAGCAAACAATCCAAATAAAACAGAGACAATGCGTTTCTCATCATCAAAGCAAATACCATCAAGACGACTTCTTGAGTCAAATCAGATGAGAATTCATAAAAAGTATATTTTGCACAAAATTATCAGAGAGAGAGAAAATAGAGAATTTTTGGGGTGTGAATTTTGCTCAATTTGCAAGATGAAAATTTGCTTGCTCAGCGTCATAAAACACTATCAATATAGAATGAACTAATGAACTCATTTCGGTTGTCTAATAAGAAAAGTCAATAACATTAGTTGGGAATGAGTTTTGGGATAATTTTGTCGACATTTCCAATTCGTAGAAAATCAACCCAAATAGTCAATCCAGTGACTCTTATTCTGTGTGTTCTTTTGACTCTTCACATGCGGGATAAAGTGAGTGCTTTCTGTGGTGGGAAAAATGAGGTGTAAAACGCGGAGAGGCTGTTGCAATGCATGATTGATGTGCTTCCGGATGAAAGCTCCATTTAAGCTGTTGAATGATCCCGCGGGTTCACAGGTATACAAATTTCTCGTGCGGTTTTTGTGTGTGGAGTGAGGAAAAAATGGACATTAAACTTCTTGCATTCCTCGCCGGGTGTGATGATTTATGGGGTGTTTGTTTCGCCGACTGTTGCTTTTGTGCAATTTACCCGAGAAGAGACCTTCACAGCGCCACTAAATATGCCAAGAGAGCCTGCGGGGTGGAATTCGCTCCATATTGATTCATTTCAACCCCCGCGGCAGCGAATGGGGGTGGCTTTGGTGTGTGCATGTGTGTGCGAAGCACTTTGTTGTAGCATTAAAACTGTTGCATTAAATATTCAACAATATGCTCGCTTCGACCGCGGAACTGACACAAACACACAACATATTTGCCCAGGGTGGAAGCCGCCGAGCTCTGGAGGAGTTTGTGAGGCGCAAATCTCGCTTCAGACACACACAGAAAATCTGCATTGTGACACTTTGCGGATATTGGGATGAATTTGAATAAAAGGTGCAAATCCGACACTTTCGCATGGCCAGCAAATGATCCCGGCAGTCAGGCGAGTTTCACAGGGTAGATGAACTGGCAAATGGGACACTTGCCAATTCCTCCTTATCCTCGCCTTATCCAAATTCAACACTTTCTTAGCTGTGCTCAAGGCGCGGAATAAGATGCCACATGGATTTGCATCAAAATGAATTTATAAGCCGTGCTGCTTCACTTTCAGTAAATTCTCAAGTCCTCTTCGTGTGCACTGCGGAAAGTTGAGCTTCTTGAGGGAGGGGATTAAGTTGAGAGTTTTCAGACGAAATTCAACCGAATTATCGCATTTTCTGCTTAATTCGTGATATAATGAAAGTTAAATCATAATTAATGCAGCTACACGATAAAGTGTGCTGCAATCAATTGCATGCGATTTTCCACTCAGAGTGCGAGCTTTTGGAGATTGTCAACCTAAAGTGTGGAATTGCTAGACTTTTCCCCACAAACAAACATGCCAAATTGAGTGATTTCTCATTCATTGAGCTTGTTGCATAAATCAATCAGAGCTTTTTTTGCCCTTTGCTTTCCCAAATCACTTTAAACACTGCGGCTCTCTTTGCCGTCAAAGGCAGCTTTTTGGGTGTGAAATGTGGCAAATTTGGGTGAACCGAAAACTATGCACAAATATTGACGTTGATTCAACAAATAGGAGAGTGAACTTTTTGCCTTCGGTACCCACATCATGATCAATCGCATCCGAAAAGTTTATTAATTAATTCCAGTGGAACGAGCGGATGCCACAATTTGGCGGTCAGATGAATCGACTTGAGTCAAGACCTCGAGGGTTGAGAGTCGATTCTGTGCGGGGTTGTGTGCGGCTGTAAATTAAGAAGCTGCCACCCACTCGACCGCCCACTTGAGACGCTGCGCGATGCGGAGAAGGAGCTCGAGGGCGTTGATGAATGCAAGCCCTGAACCCTTTGGCAATATCCGGAGATTACAGCCAGATAGTGTCAGTGTGTGACGGGGAATTCTCACTCGGATAGCATCATTCTCAGTGGTGATTATGAGGTGGGCTGAGATGTGGAGGTGGAATTGTGGCATCAACCCCAAAGTAATGGGAATATAAGAGCTTTTCCCAGACAACACATGCGAA